TGCTGTGATGAAGCCGTCTGCCTGGCTCTGCTGTGATGAAGCCGTCTGCCTGGCTCTGCTGTGATGAAGCCGTCTGCCTGGCTCTGCAGTGATGAAGCCGTCTGCCTGGCTCTGCTGTGATGAAGCCGTCTGCCTGGCTCTGCTGTGATGAAGCCGTCTGCCTGGCTCTGCTGTGATGAAGCCGTCTGCCTGGCTCTGCTGTGATGAAGCCGTCTGCCTGGCTCTGCTGTGATGAAGCCGTCTGCCTCGCGTCCTGAAGGTCGTGGGTTCGTTTTACGGCTGCATCGTTCGGTTTACGAGTGCAAGGTTTTCGGAAATCAACGGAGCTTGGTGAGATTCTCGGGGCACTTGACTAACCGTTCTGCGGAGACCAAGCTACTCGTAAATGGGAGAAAATCTGGTAGGATGAAGTCCACCATCTCGACTTTAACTTTGGGTATAAATGCCTTGTTGGCTCGGCCAGCTGACGTAATCGAGACCATCATATAGACCTGACAGGTGAACATGTGAGATGTTGAGTTAAGTCAAGAACTGACATCATATCATTTGGGACATTCCCATGAATGCCCCGTCGTCATCTTCAGCAGCCAGCGCAGAGTTCCAGTACTGATTGTACCGGTCACAATCTAGTTATTTGTCCGTCTTGCCTTTCCTCTGAGTGTAGTGAGCCGGCAAGCCAGACCCCCTGGTTACACCCAGGTGCCTCATTCTCTTCAGGCCGTATTAATCTTGCTTCTCTACTAATTCTGTTGCTTGTTCCCAAAGGTCCTTGACCACATCTGCTTTCTCTCGCTGAAAATGACGTCAAAGCTTAGAGCACTTGCTCCTTAGCTCCAGCGTCATCTCCGGTGAGATCTTAAATCACTGAGCTCCACATGTGGGTTCCAGAGCCCCATGGAAAAGGGAGGTGGGAGAGAACAGACTCAGTGCACATTAGCAAGCACGTTTCAACAACACAGCGGAAATCCTAGCACTAGAGCTGGCTAGAGAAATGTAACACAACATCAGATAACATTAGTTCTGACTGCCGCCAAGCGGTTTATCTTCACAGATGCGCTTTTAGTGCATCAAGTCTCCAAGAGTGGTAAACTCCCTTACACGAGATCTGCTTTGCAAGGTGGCGTCCCAAATGCCTTCTGTTCTCCAGTGAGTGCCAAACCACTGTGGTGTACCTGGCAACTTCTTCTGTTTCTTTCTTGTTTGTTCACCGAATGTAAACTCCGGCGGAAAGTCCTGGTTGTTCGTCCATTTGAACTTTGGCTTTGTGTTAGGACCTGAATTGTGCTTGTACATCCGTTTTATTGGCTTATTTGTATGCAGTTGTTTTTTTTTTCTCCAGCTAGGACAGATGGACTTTGAAGGAATCTCCCAATTAGTCGACTTTTACAAAATGCTTGTTGGGTAGACAATGGGTCTATTCTTGTTTTTCCCATAATGGGATCTCGGAACCCACATCGAGAACAAGGAAATGAAACCGGAGATAAATTTGCTAATGAACCAGGTGTTTGGAATCACTGGTTAACAAACTAAATTATTATGACGTTAGGGATTGCTTCGTCCATTTTTGGCCCAAATATTTTCCAGATGCTCTGGGCATAGCTTTAATGCTCAGTATTTGAGCTGGAGCCCCCCTGAGAATCAAGCAGTGAAACAGAAAAACCGCCAGCACCAGACCCACAGGAGACCCACCCATATCTGTTCGAGAGCCGCCCCAGGCAAAACTGACATTTCTTTTCAGGACTGTCAAACCACTCCTAAAATGTATAAAACAGCCCGAGAATGAATCGACAATCGGCTCCTCCTATCCAACCACCCACGGCGCCGTGGCAGCACCCCAACCAGCTCACCAGGGAAAAACTTAAAGGAAAAATTGTCAGGTGTCACAACACACCAGAACAAAACGAACGTTATCCCGCGAGAAATCCACCCAGTCGAGACCAGGAGCCAGGAGGATGTAGCACTAAGCCCAAAACTAGTCCTTTTAAGGGCAAAGAAACCCAAGAAACAGAAAAACATACCGCCCGAGCTATGTCATACGATAACCACAGTAACAAGTAAACTCAGATGAGACTCCCCGTCACAAAAGAAAGATTTAACCTAAAATAATTTGCAAAGAAACCATGCCGACTTAATAACCGCTGCTCAGACAGGAGCTGGTTAAACGTCACCGAACTTTGAAATTGTTTACTACAAATCGGATCGAATCGAAAATCAAGCAAAAGGCACAAAGCCAAAGTCCTAAATTGGAAACTAACATTACCTGAAATAGACTATAGTTTAACCAAAGAATTGAAGAACGACTGTGATGAAAAACATGTGAAATCAAAGGCACTAGAGCATGTTAATCAAACCACCCAGGATCATCATCATCATATAGCAGGTCCTTTGCAGAACGTCGCTCTCATCACAGTTTGCCTAAAAGAAACTCGGTCTCTCGCCAGCTCGAGGCATGGTGTCCGCCCTGAGTGCTAGAGGTTCCGGGTTCAATCCCCCGTAAGGGCTGGGATTTTTTAAAATGGACTCGGACTTTTAGTAATTTTCCCTGGTCTCTGGGTAGTGAGATCGAACGCCCGTGTGCATTGTTGCGCACCTACAAAAATCCCTTGGCAGTTGGAAATCGAAATGAGTAGCCTAACGGCGCTGCCTGGGCAAAATCTGGAATGTACCCAAAGTATTTCAGGATCCTCGCCGGTGCTACAGAGCCTGTGCACTGTGCTGAGCTTCTTCGGACTCAGACTTGAGTTAGAAGAAGAACGAAGCACTTATGGGTTACTACCCGTGTGTGATTATGTAGATCCGTTGTTCAAACCTCAAAGTATGAACACACGTAACGCTACCTTTGGGTATACACGGAGGCAAATGTACTAGGGTTAGGATTTACACTAATAGAATCTACATGACACAGGTACTGTGAAGTCACGTGGGACAACCTGAACCCAGTGCATCTCCATCTCGTATCAGAATGTAAAGTCGAAATAAGAAATGTGTAAAAAAAAATACTCATGTGGGGGGAGGGGGCACAATAGAACTAGTAGTCTTCATTACCGTCCAAGGAGAATGGCGCAGCGAGGAGTAATCGGGGGATCTGGCCGACGCTCAACACCCAAGGGAAGGATGAGACGGATTACTGGTACCATTGGAATTGGAACTTTTCGCCTCATGCTGAAGATGGGGACTGAGCACTTATGGGAGTGTCCCGAGTGCAGCGACGACGATTTTTTATTCAACATTCAACATTAAACTCTATAACAAAAACAAACTCTCAATGAAAGTTTAAAATAACAAATAATTCAACATTGAAAAGGCAAACATGAGAAAACCTATGTTCAAAAGCAAATTAAAAAAAATCCTTAAAAAATCATCAAAGTCAATCATAAAGTGTATATAAGAAGATATATTTATATATATACATAGGAGTACCCTACTTTATAAAAGAAAGGAAAAAAAGGAGAGAAAAAAAAGAAAGATAGGTGTTATCAGGAAAACAGCTTTCTAAATATCACTAAAATCCTCACACAATTAACGACCCCAATTATAACCTTCCTTGAGGTTAAACAGGGTCATCTTTATAGCTAAATGGAACTCCCACGAAAATCGCTCCTTTGTACCCAGCGTCTTCAGACAACATCAGGCCACTGTGAAAATTGTGACACGGGTCGTTTGCGGTAGTTGTGAATAACTAGCTATAAAACTACTGTCTAGTTTATCGTTAAGGGAAATTAGGATACAACTACTAATCTAGGAATTAGGAGGAATTAAACACATGCAGAATATAAGACTAGACGTATGTAGCTTTAGTGTTGCGAACGAGCTTCGTAAGGCGGGTTCGATACCAGCTGCTGGCGGTTTGTCTTGCCTTGGTTTCGAAAGTGGTACCGAGAGTTGAAATGGCAAACTACTGAAAGTAATATCAGCTAAAAAAAAAAAAAAAAATTATGGGTCTGGTTCTGCAACGTCCTGTAAAGCCTACGCAAAACTGATGAACACCGGTTAAAGCAGGCCAAGGATTTTACATAGCTGGGGAGTATTTAAAAAAAAAAAGGGGGGGGGAAGAATTAACAAAGAAATTCAGCGAAGATGCAATAAAGCCAATCCTGTTTTAGGCCAAATGGCACACATTTTGAAATACAAGCATCTGAATATAAACACGAAAAGGAACACTGTTAAACACAACAGTCTTACCAATGCTATGCTATCAGTGTCAAACATGGACACTCTTCAGAAGACAGAAGGAAAATAGTCAAGACAAAAATTAAATGTTTACGTACTTTGCTAGGGGTAACGTAAAAAAAAAGATCGACTTAGTAACTTTAATATCAGGAGGTAAGTCGGCACAGAACCAATACTGAACTTTATAGGTAGTCATGAAACCAAATAGTTTGGTAGTGTAACATGACTGCCATCAGACAGGGCACCAAAGAGAGCAATAGTATACAGATACAATAGTAGACAGAGGTCGACCATCCAGAAGATGGACGGCAGAAATATCAGAGACACTGAAAAGTACTTTATACCAAGCAAACAGAAGAGCCTGTTCCAGAGATCTCTTTCTGCCCTAACGCCGCGAGGCAATCCAGGAGTAGAGAAAAGAAGAAGAAGAAGAAGAAGAAGAAGAGAAAAAGAAGACTATAACGGACTGTTTAATGAAATCCGATTGGTGAAATGATAATACCTAAGTTCGAGGTTAATTATACCTCGTGACGGAAATCAACGAGAACATTAAAGATGCTTGTCCTAATGTTCTGCTCACGGTAACCACAACTTTGGTATGTGGATAATGGTATATTTAGTTATTATCTAGCTTAATGAACGCATTTAAAGTAGCAATACATGACAAATACAATGAAGCATGTTGCTACCATTTGGGTTTGTAGGGTGTCGTGTGGTAAAGTAATCGCTTGTTGAGTCTAGTCTTATTTTAGAAAAGAGCGCTCAGAAAGAAGTGTTTTTTGTTGTTTTCATTAATGTATTGTGTTAAGAAGCCATTATGATGCGGACCGTTAGGCAATGCGTGGATCCACCGTAAACAGTAGTGACGTTGTGTTGCATAATTGGTGTCTGGCTTCACGCAGGGGACGGTACTCCTCTGTAGAAGGGGGATAAAAACATTACAGTCACTGTTTCTTCTTCTTCTTCTTCTTCTTCTTCTTCTTCTTCTTCTTCTTCTTCTTCTTCTTCTTCCTCGTCTTCTTCATCTTCGTCATCATCTTCTTCTTCTTCTTCTTCTTCTTCTTCTTCTTCTTCTTCTTCTTCTTCTTCTTCTTCTTCTTCTTCTTCTTCTTCTTCTTCCTCGTCTTCTTCATCTTCGTCGTCATCTTCTTCTTCTTCTTCTTCTTCGTCGTCGTCATCGTCGTCGTAGTCTTCTTCTTAATTTTCTTCTTCTTCTGCTTCTTCTTCTTCTTCCTCCTCCTCCTCTACCACCACGTGATCCTCGTTCTTTTTATCTCCCACTGGAGCATACGATTTCAATCAACCAACCCCCCCCCCCCCCGTGTGGGTTCCGGGGCCCCATTGTGGGGAAAACAAGAATAGACCCACTGCCTCCCCAAAAGCATGTCGTAAGAGTCGACTAATTGGGGAGCTTCCTTTGAAGTCGGAGTGCATCTGCCGGAGAGGCAAGGAACCAACAGTCTGTGTTCAAGAGAATGAGATCTATAAAACTGATGCACACGCAACACTCAGGTTCTGGAGGAGGACTGCAGTTCATTAGTGGACGAGCAACCAGAACTTTCCGCCAGAGTGTACAGCTGGTGAACGCAAAGAAGAAGAATCAACCAACCAACACCAAGACTCACATCTACATTAGATTTCTTCATGACTGACTGAACTTTGTAGCTACAGGACGGTGTGTGTAGACTCATACTAACTCTCTTTAACTGTTTCTTACTACACGGATGATAAGTTGTCGTTTTATCGTTCTTTAATGGGTCTGGTTACAAAGAAGCGTAGTAATACACATCTGTGGTGCTGTGGTCAAGCCATTTGCCTCGCACACTCTGAAGATCGTGGGGTCATTTCATGGCTGGGCCGTTCTGTTCCCGAGTGCAAGACTTACGGAGGTCACCGGCGGCTTGGTGAGATGCTCTCAGCACTCGACTAACCGTTCTTCGAAGACAGTAAAGCGATATGGGATAAAGCTGATGCAACGAAGTGGATCCTCTCGACTTTAACTTCGCATGTAAATATATTTTTAGCTCAGTCAGTTGACGTAACTGAGACCAGCGATCAGATATGACTGTTGATCCTGCGAGATCGATGCTGGATCACTGAATACGTGTAGGGTTTTGAAGCCTATGAAAAAGAGGAAATGGGTGGGGATTGGGCGGAAGAGAGAACGTACCCACTGTACATTAGCAAACATCTTCCAACTAAACAGCAGTAGTCCTAGTCCTAGAGCTAGCTGCCGAATGGTCATGTTTATAGATGCGCTCTTGGTGCCCCAGGCCCTCAAGAGGGGTAAACTCCTTCACCTGAGACCTGAACTTGGCACGGTGGCTGCCCAAAAGCATACTGCACTCCAAGGGTGCCATCATACTGTGGTGTACCAGGAAACTAAACCGCGGGAAAACTTGGTAAGAAAGGGATCAAATTTGAGCAGGAGAACAAGGCAATAATATACTTTGAGAATCTAGCCAGAGATGACCACCACTTACTTGGCATGGACAGGTCATCGTTCTGCGCCTCAGGACGGGCCATAACAAACTTAACAAGAACACGCCCATACTTCGTCCAAGTAGTTCCCACTGTGCCCGCGTGGGATGTCTGTGAAAACTACAGAACATGTCCAGCAAGACTGTCCATTGTACAGCCCATTGAGAAGTGAATATTGGCCCACTGAGTCAACACCACACACACAAAGTTGTATGGAAGTAAAAGGGAACTCCAAAAATTAACTGTTAACTTTATCATAAAAACTCGTCTATCGGCGTGACTCAGATAGAGATCATCAGAACTCGTCTATCGGCGTGACTCAGATAGAGATCATCAGAACTCGTCTATCGGCGTGACTCAGATAGAGATCATCAGAACAAAAAGAAGCAAGCAAGCATATAGTAAAAGACGACAAATCAAGGACTTGTTAAAATCATCTGTATTGGGCCGAAAGACGCAGATAAGGCCTATCTGTAAACCACAATGTAATGTGCCAACCCTCTTTTAAGGGCGGATATTAATCAGAAACATGAAAAGAATCACCGAATGACCATTTCCTCCCTCCGGCCTGCAACCTGAAGGTTCGACACACCAGTGAACAGAAGAGCAGCATGTCTGTCCACAAAGACCTGAATCCCAAACACCGATTTTACCCTCCTAAAAATTACCATTTACAACTCCGGAAATGACCTCGTCAAGTTATTCTGTTGCAGTCCGTACTGCTGAACGGGTGAGGAGGTAAATGAAAGTAAAGGAACCTTGTGACCCCATGGGTACCTCATGTAGCTCTGGATTTCATTAGAACAGTTTAAATGGTTTGGCCATATAACGTGGATGTCAGCAAACAGTATACCACAGCAAGCCATGGTGTACAGACCGGGCGGGAAGCGAAGAAATGTCCGGGCATGCAAACTACTGAGAGAGAGAATAACAGTCTCGGGGAATCCCCCTTTACGAAGCGAACAAACGGGCACTTTCCCGTAAATTCTACTTTAACTCGACACCGCAAGGTACCAGACGATCCAGATGAGATGAGATGGCACCTCAGGCTTATGGATTATCGATACGGATAATCAGGTAATCGCAGTTCCAAATTCACACCAAACGGGTCAGCCCCATAATGACCTCGTTTCTGTGCCAACGAAAACCACACAAAATAATCATGGCTGTTCTTTGTGAAAAAATTTGCATAGATTGCAGTCTAGAAAACTCGGTAGCGCACACGCACGCACACACACACGCACAAGCACGCACACGCACAAGCACGCACGCGCGCGCGTGCACACACACTAGATGCCCCAGAAGTGTGAATACGATCAGACCGACAGTTGGTCGTCGGTGCAAGCAACAGTTACAATAAATCAGATGTACATGCAAGCAGTGGCATAAGGTTCTGCCTAGTTCTGCTGAAACAGGCCACTCGCCCTTTTCTGAATCTGCAGTTCACAACACTAACCACGCTGAGAGCGGCCGAAAAGCATTCCAAATGAATTTAGCAGCGCAGTGCCAGGCCGTATACTCACTTCAGTAATTAGGTGGAGGAACTTTATAATTTCAGTCCAGATATAGGGGAAATGCATGAACACTTGTAGACAAAAGCAAATTACTTGCCACGACTAAAAACAGTAATCTGCCCATCCAGTAGACTGAAAGTCCATAGATTATAGACACTGCTGACACTCGATGTGTGATGTGGACGTCAGAAAACTGGCTGCCTTAACTTTCCATAGCATTTTCTCGTACCCACTTTGAGGCGGGAAAAATACGACTTACCGCTGTTGTAAATCGACCAGAACTGGTCCTCGCTGTCGTACAGATGAAGCGCGAAGTTCGTCATCGTCTTGTACGGTATCCAGGTGTCCTTCATGCGGTTCAGCTTTTCGTCAACAGCTGAGTCCTGCAGGAATGTGCACAATCATCAAAGTCTTACTTCTGTTTGTAATAAATAGTAGTAGTAGATGTAGTAGTAGTAGTAGTAGCAGCAGCATTAGTAGTAGTAATAGCAACAGCAGCAGTAGTAGTAATAGTAGCAGCATCAGCATCTGCGGAATGAGCAGCATCAGTAGTAGCAGTCGCAGCATCAGTTGTAATATTGCATTCCGGGATAGTTTTACTTTTAGACAAATTTTGGTTTTTAGCTGTTATTGTAGTGATGATGTATTAGTAATAGTATTTGTAGTAGAAGTGGTGGTGGTAGTAATGATAGTTGCAGCAACAGTGGTCATATTTATTTCCGGGATAGTTTCATTTTGAACAATTGTGATTTTAGTGAAATAAGAGTATAGTAGTAGCAGCAGCAGCAGCAGCAGCAGCAGCAGCAGCAGTAGTAGCGATAGCAGCAGCAGTGCAGTTGTTGAGCTGGTAATAACAGCAGTTGTAAACGTCGTTGCAGCAAACATAACAGTAATCTATGAATGATATAGCGATGCAACATGGCTAACTTATTCGCACCAGGAAAAACGGCTAAATCGCTTTCACGAGAGATTCCTAAAAAGAATACTTGGTATTAAGTGGCAAGACAAGATCACAAACACGGAGGTATTGAAAGAGCAGGTATCACACCAATTTTCTCATTGCTCAGTCTACGAAATCTCAGGTGGCTTGGTCACCCTTGGAGAATGGAGGATGGTATAACCTCTAAGGACATCCTCTATGGTGAGTTACAGGTGTGTAGAAGATGTCGAGGCCGACCTCTATTACAACATAAAGATGTTTGCAAGCGGGACCTGAATGATACCTGTATTGAGATGGACTCGTAAAAACAAAATGCTACGGACGATGTTGCATGGATGGGACACACCAAGAAGGAAATGAGAATGAAAGAAGAAACTGTTGCAGAAAGGATGAGAGCTGAGCGTCTGAGAAGAAACACACTAAACACAAATATAGGCAGCACAAGTCCTGAAAACCCGTTCTCTAATTGTGTAAAACTCTTCTTAACGAGGGCGGGTTTTGCTAGTCTTACTCGCCATCGCCATGGGCTGTGAGTCCAATGCCTCCTTATAGCACAATGTAACAATCGTCTGGAAAGACGGAAAGGTGCATACAAAAGCAGCTGTAAAAAAAGCAGTAACAACAGCAGTAACAGTCGCAATAGTAGTGGTAGTAGAAACTCAATAAAAGTAGTCGCAGCAGCAACATAAGTAGTTGTATTAGTGACAGCAGCAGCAGCAGCAGCAGCAGCAGTAGTAGTAGTAGTAGTAGTAGTAGTAGTAGTAGTAGTAGTAGTAGTAGTAGTAGTAGTAGTAGTAGTAGTAGTAGTAGAGATATCCCTGATTAGTGTGATGGCCATATTAATAATTGTTGTAGCAGTGGTAAAGAAAAGGCCAGTCATGGTAGTGGCTGAAGTAAAGATAGCGTAGAAACATTCGACTTGGCAGTCGAGACAACGTACCTTCACAAACACGACGCCGTGGTTGACACACTTGGAGTCCAGAAGCCGGGCCGCCTTGTCGATGTACTCGGACTGTAGGTATGACTTGCTCTTGATGTCTGTCAGCTCCATCCAATTGAAGGTGTTCTTACCTGAGTCCACACACAGACGATTAGTCCACACACAGACTGACTCCTGCTGTTAGTTTACATGTCTGGTCCTACCAATGTACAACTACTACTGCTACTACTACTACTAATACTACTACTACTCTGCTGTTACTAATGCTACTACTGCTGCTGCTACTACTACTATTACTTCTGCTACCACTACTGCTACTGACGCTGCTGTACACCACTACTAACTACTACTGCTACTACCACCACCATCGCCACCACCACCATCACCATCACCACTTCGGCTACCACGAGGAGGCTGATGTGTCCTAGGATCTCCTTATTTTTGTCGCACTGCTAAATAAACTTACCCATCTGTGGTAAATATCGGATGTCCATGGAGAACAGCTGAACGCCATCACTGGGCGGCAGAAAGTCGTGCTGTTTCAGTTCCGGTTCACTGACGTACCACAGATTGGCCAAACGTTCGTTGGGGAAGGCAAACACGACAAAGCACCAATCGTCTCGCTGCAGCCATTCACTGTGGGGTGGAGCCTCGACAACACACACCTATTGGGAATAGTTGTACAACTTATATTCTTGGGAATGTGTGGCATGATAGCTAATGTATCGGCGAACTGGCCACTGGTTGGTCAGTAGACGACTTCGTCGCCGGAGGGGAATAGTATTTGGGTCTGTCTCCCTTGATCGCATCAACACTGCAAGAGTAATTGTCAGGGCTACTTGGTGGCAAGAATTGCTAAGCCATTTGTATGGCGCACATAACCTAGTCACAGTTATAACCTAAAGCTTCTCCTTTGGGGATGCTGGTTGAATGCGACGATTTTTTTTAGCAAAGCAACGGAACGAATGGTACGAGTAAAATACAACGCGCTGCTGGTCGATCACTACGCGTGGCACCCCCACAACATAGGACAAGCCCTGCGACACGACGAGGCATGAATGGGAAGGAAAGTCACTCTCTTTTGAGAGCGAAAAACGTAACAAGCACCGAATAGTAAATGGATGGTAATTGTCAGGGATTTTCCGGTCAAAATGGCGGATAGGCCGATTTACTGTCTTTCGTCGTGACAATATTTTTGCTTCTGAAAAAGGTTAGCCGTCATTATTTCCCCTTTATGTAGACTGAAAGGGTATAGTTCCATCGTCAGCTAATGGAGTGGGTACCAGGCGCGACGCTGTGAGTTGCAGATTTAATTTTAAGCTGTCCCCAGCGTAGTTTGATCTGTGAACTGCAGATTAAGAAAATGGCGAATGGACCTGTTGTCAGAGATCTTGTGGTGCTCTGTGCAATTAATCGCGTGCGAAACTATTGATCTGTTGCAACTGCTACTTCCATTGACGATGAACGGCATTTCTAAGTTTAGACTATTTGTGTTTGTACTTAAAACGGCTGCCTTATTCATTTGATGTGTGTGTGTTGCTGGATTTACCGAGACTGCAGTCTGTGTAAACATTTTATCCACACAAGGGACAGTGGTGAACATTCTGTGTGTGTATCATTGGCATAGTAGCTAGGCAACTATGGGGTGACCCGTGTGTTTTGAAGTTGGAAGTGTGATTACTTGGTTGCTAGATGGTTTCTGTAACAAGAAGAGTGATGAACCAAACAGGCGGTGGATGGACATGGGATACAAAGAGATAATCGACATAAAAGTTTCGGGCGGGATAGGGGTGGGGAGAGAAGAGGGATGGTAGGTAGGCAGGTAATTGTACCCTACCAGGACATCACATACGCGATAAACACCCGGTGACACAAAGTGGCGCCATGCGGATGAGAATCACCCGTGGAGAGGACCCAGAAACCCCTTTCAGCAGGTAGGCCATATCTATAGCTAGGCCACATTTATGGCCCGGCTGTATTCAGGGCTACCGGCAGAAGCAGGGTGGGGCTTCAAATAACAAAACAAAATTGTACTCCACATGGGGACGACTTATAGAGAAGGGGGTTCAGCTGGTCGTTCCCTTCTGGACTTTAGTCTTGTCACCGAGTTTCCTTCTAAGTCGGAGTAGATCTGTCTGAGAGGCAAGGAACTAAGAGTCTGTATACAAATATGCCAGCTTTGTCAAACAGATGTGCATGCAACACTTAGGTCTGGGAACATGGCTTAGGTCTGGGAACATGGCTAAAGTCTGGAGGCGGACGAACACCCACAATTCTCCGTCAGCGTTTACATCCGGTGAGGGCGAACAAGAAGAAGAAAAGGAAATAATTTCTACCACACCTTTAACGTTTTCATTTGAAGTCCTCGCTGAGGATTAAAAAAAATGGCAAAGAAATTCTAGGCTTTAAAGCCCTCACCCACAAATGACCGACAGAATGAGACAGACTGTATACCTTGTTGGCGACTCCGACAATGTGGCCAGGTCCGTACTGTTTGATGCGGCCAGACATACGGAATCAGAGCATTTCTCATACGACGGTCCATCTCTGCCTTGTACCTCAGGAACACGATCACTTGTCCATGCGCTGCCGGGTACTATCAAACACCATAATCAACTAAATTAATCAATCAACTAACGGAACAATCGCTAATCAATGAGTCACTGAAGTTATCTGATGTGTTGACTCATTCTCAAAATACCCATCCCTCATGGTTATTATGTTTGAAATAAAAAAAAATTTTTCTTTCTCTTTTTTCATCGACATCCCCCTCCTCATCGTCATTATAACTTATCATCACATATTATTATTAACGTTAGTATTAGTATAAGTAGTATTAGTATTAGTAGTAGTAGTAGTAGTAGTAGTAGTAGTAGTAGTAGTAGTAGTAGTAGTAGTAGTAGTAGTAGTAGTAGTAGTAGTAGTAGTAGTACAGAGTACTGCTCTTTTGATTTGGCAGCTTCTGTAGCATGCCTTATTAAAAACATATTGTTGTTACTTTTCCGTTGGAGTAAAAAAGGCAGACCGGGGTGGAAGGATGTGGGCTTGGGAGGGAAGGGGGTTATGCTGTACGAACAATACATGGTCTCTTCAGTACTGCCCAGGCTTTGTGCTATCGAGAGGAGGAAATTCATAACTGGTCCTAACTGCCTATCGTTCCTACGACTCTATTTAACACTATATTACCATCTTCGGGTAAAACCGAAAGCTGTCAACGGAAAAAGTGGCCGAGGTGGTACTACTACTACTCCTCCTACAACAACAACAACTACTACTACTACTTCTTCTACTACTACTAATACTGTTACTACTAATACTGTTGCTGCTGCTACTGCTGCAACACAAATAACTACTGCTGCTGCTGCTTTTAATACAGCTAGTAGTAGTAGTAGTAGCAGTATAAACAAGAAGACGACGACTATGGCCACAGAGAAGGCTTGGCGCCTTCCTTCGAAGTCAGAGTAAATCTGTCGGTGAGCAGGGAACGTAAAAAGCCAGCTAAACGGCTGTACACGCAAAACTTAGGCCCAGGTATTGCCAAAAGTCCAAATGAGCGACCTTCCGTCGGAATTCATAGCCGGTGAACGAATAATAATAATAATAATAATAATAATAATAATAAAAATAAGAAGAAGAAGAAGAAGAAGAAGAAGAAGAAGAAGAAGAAGAAGAAGAAGAAGAAGAAGAAGAAGAAGAAGAAGAAGAAGAAGAAGAAGAAGAAGAAGAAAAAGAAGAAAAAGAGGAAGAAAAGGAAGAAGAAGAAGAAGAAGAAAACGAAGAAAAAAAAAGACGGTAACTAAGAAGAGGAGGAGGATGAGAAGAGGAAGAAGAAGACAGTCGCTATGCTAGTTGGGAGGGAAAACACTTTGTCTGAAAAAGCTGATTATAAACAATAAGGCACAGTTTAAGAACAACTGTCCGCCCACAATAAACAGACAACCACCTCCTGAGCGCCAGCGGCATGTGTCTGTTGGTTGGCGTGCTCCTGCTTGCAACAGTCGGGTCGACACTCTCTGGAACACATGCTGTCACTGCTGACATAAGAGACACACAAATAATTAATGTTACAATAAGGAAAATTTGACGTTTGGTAATAAGGATTTAATAAAATGTGTGAATAAATGAATCGAAAATTAACATCGCTGCACTTAGGACATTCCCATACGGGATTCTTCTCCTTCGTCAGTAGTGAATAACGTGTCGACATGCTAATAGTAGCCGTTACAACTTGATTAAAAAAGTCCGTCTGTGTTTCTCCCTCAGTGTTGAATATCATCCAGAACCTCGCTAAAAAAAAGACTTCCAATGTATGTTCCACTGCCCTGTTCACTTGATCTCAGAAAGCCTTCATCGCGCCCGCTTTATCAGAAAGTAGCTCGTGGCACAGAGGAGTGGCAGCAGCCAATCCATCAGGCTGTTCCTTACCCCGCACACCCTATTTTCCTTGACATAAAATGCACGGAGGACGTCAGTTTCTATTTTCCCCAGCATGCCTTGTGAGTCGGTTAAATTACTATGCTGTGTTATTCTCCAGCCATCATAAAGGTACCGCTACTGTCCCCTATAGGCTTCAATGAAAACTTTACAAGTATGACGGAAACCACGATAGTCACGTCATTGTCTTGTACTCTGTCAATATTGTTGTCAAGCGTGGTAGGTATGCGAAACGACGGTGCAGCTGAATACGATGACATCATAATGACAGTTTAAAATGTCTGCCACACTTTTGACATGCACCAAGGAAAAACGGCGTTCTGTTACTGTTTTGTGATCTGTGAAGGGGGTGCCACATAGAAAGAAATTTATCGGCGAATGAGAAGATCCAATATGGTGAAGCATGCCTCTCAGTTCAGCAAAGGGCTGAGATATATACCTAAGGGTATATTTTTATTTTATTTTACTTTATTGTTACTTTCCCTGATCAGAAACTGCTGCGGCACCACTCGCCGTCTCCCGTGCCGCTGTCAACCTGCTGGGAACACATGTGGTTGTAACTGTGGTCGTGGTTTCTGTGTACCAAGTGTACTGGCTAAAACTTAACTGTGCCAGATTCAACGGCTCAGATATTTTTTTCGTCACTTCCACCGAGCAATGGGTTACAAATTTGTGAAAACAGAGCCCTACGTCGAATCTTTGAACCCATCAAAGTTACATATAGCGGGAAATAGAGAGTGAGAAGCAGAAACGAAATTTATTATCTATTTCAATTACCATTGATCTCCGGCATCGTGAGAGCAAATAAACTGAAATGGCGGGAGCATATAAGTCAGACATGACCATAAGTGATCCACGTTATTACCCTGAAAAAGATGCCTCCGGTCATCTAAACAGAACGTTCATCATTTTTTGCATATGCTTTGGACACTGTAGACATAACAATCACTCATATAAATTAGGATGCGCCAAACAGCTCTCTGACAGTGTCTTTGTGCTGAACAGACTCCGGAACATGCCTTGCAACTCTGTCCTCTCCTGGAGAAGCTGCGAAACAACATATGGCCACACCCACTTGATAACTTAGTTTTGGGAATTTGATTTGATTTGATTCAAGAACCGACACCATAGTACTTGGGCATTCCCATAAGAGCCCCGTACCCATCTTCAGCAGTGAGCGAAGAGTTCCGATACTAATGGTGCCAGTAGCGTTCTGATTAAACGTCCGTCCTCTGAGCCTCGAGCATCTGCCAGAACCTCTCGTCACCCCAACTGCATCAATCTCACCAGACTGGGGTGATCCATCTGCTCCTCCGAATTGTACATCTCCCACAAGGCACTAACCCCGTCTGCCTTATCATGTATCAGTATTCCACCAAGTTGTGCAGAGCCAGCCAGTCTGTCTGCCTGTTCATTTCCCAATACACTGGAGCGACCCGGTGAAAAAATCCAGACAATACTCCTCACTCGTGTCCTCAGCAGCGAAGCATGCCACTCTGCACGAAGCATTACCTGAAGCGTACCATTGACCATAGTTTTGGGGAAACCTAGAAGACCTTAAGCAGACATCTTTTTTTTTTTATAGCTCACATTGGATTCAGCGTATGAACATAAATCGCTGAAGAAGATGAATTACCTACCGTTTGTGTCCAAAAATTTTCGTTTGTTCTGCAACAGAACTCGATTTGGCGCAAATACAATGCCACAAATGCCAAAACTGTGCATAGCAACGTGATGTCACCAGATTATGCTTTGTCGCAGCAAAAATGTGTACTTCTGTGCGCGCTCAACACATCGTTTATTAGAATTAAATACACATGTAGGACGTGTATCGACATGCCAATGAGTTGAGTCAAAAATTTACAGCACAGCATTCGGGGCATTCCCATGCATGCTCCGTCCTCATCTTCAGCAGCAGCGCAGAGTTCCATTACTGATGGTACCGGTCACAATCTGGTTATATGTCCGTCTTGCCTTTCCTCTGGGTGTAGTGAGCCGGCCAGACCCTCTGGTTACACCCAGATGCCTCATTCTCTCCAGGCCATAATAATCTTCTATCTCTACTGATTCCGTTGCTTGTTCCCAAAGGGCCTTGACCGCATCTGCCAGGAGGCTCCCGCCGTTTTATATTCATCATCATCATAAGTCGGCTCTGTGGCTAAGTCGATGCGAACGCTTCGTAATATCCGGATGCCGGGTTCGATCCCAGCTGCGTGCCACGCGCCTTGCTTTGGTTTCGACACTGGTATCAAGAAAGCCAATCGTCCAGGAAGCAATGGCAAACTACTGGACGTAAATTTGCCTAGAAAAACCAAACAACAGCCACGGGCTGTTGGGGTTGGTTCTGCAACGTCCTATAAAGGATACGCAACTAACCTAACATGATCATAAACCACTTTTGCCGTTAAGCTTCGTGTGGGCCGTTTTATATTGCACCAGCTAATTTAAGAAAAATTTCAAAAAGATAGTATTTTAAATCTAAGGAAACATAAAATATATTCTCGTTTATAAATACTGTACACTTTTGAAACAAAAAATTAACACAAAATAATATTTTAAAAGTTTGGGGGGGGGGGGGGGGGGGGGGGGGGGGGGGAGGGGGGGAATATATTAAAAAGAAAAATTACATTAAAATATATATAAAATAAAAAGTGCCTTTGTGAAGAAAAAAAAAAAATTGATTGTTTTAGGCCTCTGCAGATTCTTATTCCTCAGGCTACAGCATTGTTAGCTTGTAGCTGAATTCAGCGCTGACGACGGATCATTTGGTTTAGAAAGACAACAGTAAACACTTTTCTTCGTAATCCATTGAGTGATCTAAAAAAGAGTAACATTTATACATTTATACCTGACGAGATACAGCGAAATATGCCAGGCAATAAATTGTGCAGTCTATTGTTTGTGTCTTCTTTGTTCAAATTCACATCGGGGAAACATTGCTTTGATTTATACAAAAAAAAAAAAAAAAAATTTTCAGTTACAGATTCTCTCAGGAGAACTGAAGAATGGAGAATAATAATGATGATGATGACGACGACGATGATATCAGTACCTTATGAAGCAGTGAAAACAATGAAGTACATGCAGGTACAATTAATAAATTAAAATAAATTTGTACAAAACAAAACTTTTATGTAAAACTAAAACATACTTTTGATTTGGCATGTGCTCTTTCTCGTTATTTTGAGGTATTCCATTCTTGGACGGTGTTTTTTTCTTCTGTTTTGGTCCATTTTTCTGTTGTATTCCATTTCTGCGTGGAGTTCTGGCATGAGTCGACATTTTGGCTCTTGTATCTGTCAGGCGATAGTGCTGGTTTTGTTAGTAAAACTATATCTGGCCGGAATTGCTACTTCGAAGTATTTGGGTAAAGGCCAAGGCTAGGGAAAAAAGTTTGTCAGAGAAACAATTATGAATCGTGATTCAGCAGTTGCCAGATAGGAAACAGAGACATGCGAGGGATATGACTCTAGAACAAGAGGAGGAAGAGGGGAAGAAACAGGAGGAGAGAAAGACAGGATAAAGAAAAAGAAGAAATAGTAGTATTCGAAGAAGAAGAAGAAGACGAAGAAGAAGAAGAAGAAGAAGACGGAGAACTGACAGCAGCAGTGGTAATAGTAGTAGTAGTAGTAGTAGTAGTAGTAGTAGTAGTAGTAGTAGTAGTAGTAGTAGTAGTAGTAGTAGTAGTAGTAGTAGTAGTAGTAGTAGTAGTAGTGTTGTTGTTGTAGCAACAGCAGCAGTCGTTGCAGTAGTAGTTGTTATTGTAAAATAATAGCAGCTGCTTTTGTCTTTCTTTGCTGTTTTGTCGTCGCAGCTGGTGGCTGTTTCTGTTGCTGTTCTCCGCGTGTGTTCTGTGGTCCCATTGTGGAAAGGGGGGAGGGGGGGGGGGTCTTCCTCTAACAAACATGTAGTAAAGGCCGACCAATTACAGGTATTTCATTCAAAGTCAGAGTGCATCTGCCTGAGAGGCAAGAACCATCAGTCTGCATGCAAATAATAGTAATACAGATATGTAAAACGGATGTTCACGCAAAGCTAAATTAATGAATGAATCAAGAATTGACGTCACTGCATTCGGGACATTCCCATATGTGCTTTGTCCTCTTCTTCAGCAGCCAACGACGAATCAACTATACTAACAGTTGCAACCCGATTAAAAGTCCGTCTCTGTTTCGCCCTCAGTTTTGAGAATGTCTTTTTTTTTAAACGTAAAACTCAAGTTCTGAAACAAGACTAAAGTCTAGAAGTGGGTGACCCACCAAAATCTTCCGCTGAAGTTTACAGCCGGTGAACGCGAAGAAAGAGACTGTTCTTGTCGTTGTTATTTTGTTGCTGTTGTTGGAGGCGAATAACGAGAAGAATTAGACTTATCAAACAGATGTACATAAAAAGAAGTGGAACTCGTTGCCTTAATCACACCTCTTTGTTAGAAACCTATGTAACACAACAATAACATTTTCGATAAAAACAGACCGATTACAGTCACAACATCTAACCAAAGAAAAGCCATTAAACATCACTACAATAGTTTAAAAAAAAACTTACCTGGGATTCAGAAGTGCCTCTAAAATGTTTCTGTTGATTATTCAATTATTTTGCAAGAGATTAATTATTAAACACCTGGTCAAAATTTTTAATCTGTGTGTAGTCATGAACACACTGGGCTTGTTTACAGTCGTTGCTATGGCAGAACCCGCCCGTAATAAATTATCAATACTGTTCCTTGTTTTCAATGTTTCCCTATTGAAACGGTAACTTGGTTTTCTTGCGGGCCTGCTGTAGTGTTTACAATTATCAATGTTGCCGTATTTAACATAGACTTACACGTTAAAGATGTTGCGCTGGTGGATTTTAAATGGCCACCAAACGTATAACTGGCAACTCAACACAGCTATAAACACAATCTCAGGTAGCCGAACCCTGACACACCCAGATGACTGGTTGACTGAATTATTGTTTGCTCGGTTGATTGGTTAGTTGGGTATTTGGTTAGTGGTTTTTTTGGGGCCCCGTAATTTGGTTCCAACAGAAATTAAAAGGAGTATAGCCATTGCAATGCAAAGATTGTAAAGCCTTAAAAGTGTATGGTTGAGCACCAGCAAGAGATTAAAATTAGAATGTTGAGAAAATGCATCTTTCCCTGTGGCAACATACGGATGTGAGTCGTGGACTATCTCTCAGTTCTTAAGAAAGAGAATAGGGAATTTGAGCTGAAATGCTATAAAAAGATTCTCAGAGTATCTTGGACAAAGAAGAGGAGAAAATATTGGCATCTTAAAAGATCTGAACATCAAGGAGGATTGGCTAATAAACGGCATCCTTTCTCGGAAGCTGAAATATTTTGGTCAAATCAAGCGCCACGACGGATTGGAAAAAAATTATAGCAGACGGCATGGTACCAGGAAGGAGGGGCAGGAGCCGACCGACACGAAGATGGGCACAGGATATAGGTGACTCCTTGAGTATAAAAATAATTGAGGCGGGAAAACTGTCGAGAGACCGAGTTTCTTTCAGGCAGACTGTGATGAGAGCGACGTTTTGCAAAGGACCTGCTATATGATGATGATGATGAATTTGGTTCCGGAGTTAGTGTTTTGGTTTACAGTGTTGATCATGGCAAAGGAAAAATCAAGCACCAAGGACAACACGCTGATAAATTGATCATATATAACGTGTTAGAACGCCCGTACACAGAAGGTCCAAACACCTCTTCTCAAAAACGTCACAGAGGTAACTGGAAGAAGAAGAAGAAGAAGAAGAAGAAGAAGAAGAAGAAGAAGAAGAAGAAGAAGAAGAAGAAGAAGAAGAAGAAGAAGAAGAAGAAGAAGAAGAAGAAGAAGAAGAAGAAACAAAAAGACGAAGAAGAAGAAAGAAGAAGCAGGAGGATTAGGAAGAGGAAGGAAAGGAGTAGAAAAGGGGGGGGGGGGGGTGAGGGGTGAAAAAAAGACAGAAGGGGAATAAGGAGAAAAAAGAGGAAAGGGAACACTTTTTTTCTATGTCTGCGTTAGCCCTTAAATGGCAGCTGTTGTGATTTAGACCTAGGCTATTTAGGCCCAAATTATCAGATTTTCTAAAACGCTTCATTCGTCTCATTTCACGAAATACTTATTAAAAGGCTTAAAAAATATACTGAAGGGAAAAGTCAAAGGCGACAGAGAAAGAGGTAGACAATCTTATTTAAGTAGAAGGAAAACATTAAGAGATGGAGGGGGCCGCATTAGCGCAGTCGATAGAAGACGTGCTTTCAAATCCAGCTGCGACTCGCTGCAGCCCACAGCCAGTGTTCGAAACCGGGCGGTTCTCGGGAGTTCACCCAGCCTCTATGTAATGGGTACCAGAGCCAACACTCTGGGGTAACTGGAGGAACGTCGCTGTAGCTATGGAGTTGCGTACGAACGGCGACACAGGCGGACAGCCTCTTATCAGCTGTCCGCATTGATGGCAGAGCACTTATGGTTTATAACCGTGTGCAGTGAGGCTGGTTCACATCTCCCGACTTTACAAGAGATGGACGAAGAGAAAGTCTGAGCGTACAGTCGGGACGCGGCACGGAGATTGTTGATGGTCTGCTTTAGCCTTTATCGGAGAGACGTTACCTCAATGACTGATTGATGACATACATGTTAATTAAAAGTGGATCTGTTCTAAACCTCCCCTAAAAGAAACACAGGACCTACAAGGGGAAGAGAAATATTATATTTTGATTTCTAGAACCGAAAGACAGTCCCACTTTTGAAAGTCGGATGAATTTCCGGTGTCATGTCTGCTACCATTGGAAAGCTTTCAAACCTCTAAGTTGCGGATTGTCGATTAAACCTAAAGTTTGTCTACACAGTACACATCACTTGCTCACCATTTGTCGCTGCGGATCCTTAATTGCTGCAGTTAATAAGGTCTGTAATGTAATCAGTCGGCTGTCTATTACCGGGGTCTAAAAAGCACGGAACTTTACAAACGACAAAGTTTTGGTCCAAACTTAAACTTCCGACTACTGTTGAAACTATGGTACTTAGGTACTACTAGTACTACTAGGTACATACAGTCATACATGGTCATTAGTTGAGGCTGTTACTTATCTGCAGACGTGTCACCCCATAACTACTCTCGCCCAATGTCAGTGAAAATCACAGAAAATGTCTTTCACTGTCCCATTTGAAAGCTAGTTAAAAACATATAAGTCCCAGCAAAATCAACAAGCTCGCACAAGCAAAGTAAATGCATAAGGCAGCTGTCAGATGTATCACCACTATCAGTCCTCCATGAAAACTGCAGCTCATTGTTGTTGCATGAAGTCATTTTCGAAGTTTGGCATTGTACACACAATACTGCACAAGTCTACACCATTCCAAATATAATCGACCACCTTCCAGTTTTAGTGCAGTTTACAACATAAAGCCGCCGCAGGAACGCAGAAAAAAAATCCACATAAAATACACAGCTCACAGTGTCACACTAAGCACTCAACTCAGTAGATGGGCAACAGCATCTGTAAGTGCCAGTAAATATTTATAGATTAATATTAAATGTGGTTTTTTCCTAAACTCAACCAAGTAAGAGGAGAACGAGGAAAGTTGGGGTTGGCTGCACCTTCCTGTACTGACACAATTTTTCATTATTTTTCCCCTCATTTTTCTCAGCGAAATCATCAGCTTTTAGAAAATGTCTGGTGAAAATGATCCGACATCAGACGATATTCCACCACAACCACCTGTAACAGACCCACAGCGAGAACTTGCTGCCCAGGCTATGAGTGAGTTTGAGAAGGGTCAGTTCACAAACTGCACTAAGACGATGGGTCAGCTGGCAGACGCTCGGCCCACGGACGTGAAAGTTGTGCATAACCGCTCTGTGGCTCTTTTCTACCAGAGCCAGTGCAGAGCAGTTGATGAGTTCCGGCATAATATCCAGACTGTGTTTAACATGGTATGTGTGTTTTAGGCATGTTATCCAGACTGTGTTTAACATGGTATGTGTGTTTTAGGCATGATATCCAGACTGTTTTTAACATGGTATGTGTGTTTTATGGCATAATATCCAGACTGTTTTTAACATGGTATGTGTGTTTTATGGTATGATATCCAGACTGTTGTTAACATGGTATGTGTGTTTTATGGCGTGATATCCAGACTGTTTTTAACATAGATTGTGTGTTTTTTGGCATGATATCCAGACTGTTTTTAACATAGATTGTGTGTTTTATGGCGTGATATCCAGACTGTTTTTAACATAGATTGTGTGTTTTGTGGCATAATATCCAAACTGTTTTTAACATAGATTGTGTGTTTTGTGGCATAATATCCAAACTGTTTTTAACATAGATTGTGTGTTTTATGGCATGATATCCAGACTTTTTAACATGGTATGTGTGTTTTATGGCATAATATCCAGACTGTTTTTAACATAGATTGTGTGTTTTTTGGCATGATATCCAGACTTTTTAACATGGTATGTGTGTTTTATGGCATAATATCCAGACTGTTTTTAACATAGATTGTGTGTTTTTTGGCATGATATCCAGACTGTTTTTAACATAGATTGTGTGTTTTATGGCATGATATCCAGACTGTTTTTAACATAGATTGTGTGTTTTTTGGCATGATATCCAGACTTTTTAACATGGTATGTGTGTTTTATGGCATAATATCCAGACTGTTTTTAACATAGATTGTGTGTTTTTTGGCATGATATCCAGACTGTTTTTAACATAGATTGTGTGTTTTATGGCATGATATCCAGACTGTTTTTAACATTCCCTGTGTGGGTTTTGAGGCCCCATTGGAGAGAAACAAGAATAGACCCACTGCCTCCTCAAAAAGCATGTCCTAGGAGTCTACTGATTGGGGGATTTCCTGCGAAGTTGGAATGCATCTGCCTGAGAGGCAAGAAACCAACAGCAGTCTGTTTACAAATAAGCTAGATCTGTAAAATGGATGTGCACATTTAAGTTCTGCAACAAAACTAAAGTCCAGAAATGGGCAAAATAACCAGAATTATCTGTCGGAGCTTACATCTGGTGAAAGCCAAGAAGAAGAAGAACCTCATTCTATATATAGCAATGCGACAACCTGTTTTAAAAGATCCATCCATACCTTTGGTGCATTTGGCATAGTGCGTTAGATCTGTATTATTGTATAGACTTGTCAGCACTAGATGTGGCGATGTTACACTTTGGTAGTTCAGTGGCTTATATGCCTCCCTGTCAAACTGGTGGTCTTGTGTTTGATTCCCTGTTAATGTTAATTTTTTTATGTGTTGTGTGTGTGTTTGTGTGTGTGCATAACACATGTATTTAAAATGTTTTGTATATTTGGGCCTTATTTTAAATTGTAAGTCTGTATGGGCTTTACTTTGAAATGTATAGCTGATAATTTTGGTCTTATTTTAAAATGTATATCTATATATTTGGCCTTGTTTTAAAATTATATGTATATAGCTGTGTGTAAATATATAGGCGGTGGTCTTATACCATGAGAAGCAGTATCGGGCAGCCTTGTCAGTGCTGGAGAAGCTCTTTAGATACATCGAGCCAATAGGTAGGTTTGGCTTTTTTTAAATTATTATTTGAATGGCCAGAACAAACTGCATTTAAGACATTTTACAGAAGAACATCTGGGAGGAAGGCTAGTGGAAGACTAAGAAAGAGGTGGATAAATGGTGTAGCTGAAATCTGCAAAAACTGCCAATTACTGCTTTTGTTATTCCACTTTTGCAGTGAAGGTGGGGGGGGGGAGGTGGGCTTTGAGCCTGAGGATTTACAGCCGCATGGCTAGTGCTGTCGCCACGACTGTGCAGGTGAGGATTTATTTTGCCCCTGACAGAAAAAATCCCCAGCCTTACCGAGTATTCGAACCCTGGTCTTCCTCATGGGAGCCCAGTGTTCTAACCGTTCGGCCAGCCACTCCTCAGTCTGCAAAAAGATTAACAAAATCCATCAGCCAGGCCACTCGAGAAGCACAAGGCTAATACAGAAAGCACAGCACTGGGCTATAACCTGGTAACAGTGAGACAACAAAAGAAGAAGAAAGAAGGAGAAAACCACATACAATATGATTGATGGCATTAAGGACAGTGTAACAAACATAAAGGTCAACTTATGCAGTACATTAGAAAGAGCACACAATCCTAACATCTCCTTTAAAACACCAATGACGTAAATGGTGAAGGAGAAGAAGTTATTTCAGTGTCACATTCTACAAGCCTGCCAACTGTGCTTACAGCTTCAATGAGAAACCTAGCATCAAGCGCAAAATGTGCAGAGCAAGTATAGGGAATACGAAGGACCAACAATTGTAATTTTTATTCATAGAGACATCCAGCTTCATGATCTGACCTGAGCATATGAAACCCAGTGCAAAGAAAAAGAGTCAGTTTATGTTTGTGTGTATGTTTTGTATATAATTTCCACAAATAAATCTAGCTGTCACCCAAAAATAACAATAAATGATGAAGAAATTGAAAATGTCACAAACTTTGAATATCTAGGCTCTATAATAAATAGCAATGGAGACTGTTTGACAGAATTAAAAGGAGGATGGCCATAGCAATGCAAAGATTAAACAGCCTTAAAAGTCTATGGTGAAGCACTAGCAAGGAAATCAAAATTATAATTGTGAGAGCATGCATCTTCCCTGTAGCAACATACGGATGTGAGTCGTGGACTATCTCCCAGTCCTTGAGAAAGAAAATAGGGGCTATAGAAAGATTCTCAGAATATTTTGGACAAAGAAGAGGAGAAATACTGACATCGTGAAAGATCTGAACATCAAGGAGGATTGGCTAATAAACAGCATTCCGTCTCGGAAGCTGAAACATTTTGGCCATTTTAAGCGCCATGACGGATTGGAAAAAATTATAGCAGACGGCATGGTACCAGGAAGGGGGGGGGGCAGGGGCTGACTGACACGATGGGCACAGGATATAAGTGACTCCTTGAGTGTGAAAACATGAGGCGGGAGAGTTGGCGAGAGACCGAGTTTCTTTCAGGCATACCGTGATGAGAGCGACGTTCTGCAAGGGACTTTACATGATGATGATGTATGTTTTGTTTCTTTTCATTTTGCTTATAAAGGCTAACCACTGCAACATCCTTTGTTTATTGTAATTAGTTCTGTAAAGCTAACATATACTTTGTGTGTCTTTCCCCCCCCCCCCCCCTGTTTTTTTTTAAATACTGTACTGCATACATACATACATACACACACACACACATATATATATATATATATATATATATATATATATATATATATATATATATATATATATATATATATATATATATATATATATATATATATATATATATATATATATATGAGGCAGGAATCAGAGCACCTGTGGATGTCTGGAAGACCCTGAGGATAACCCAAATGATAACGAATAATCACTTCTCTAGTCCATGTCTTGATGTTTTATGTATGTATTTGAGTTTTAAAAATTATGTTTTTACATAATTTAAAAAAAAAAAAAATATTTTGAACACTACTGGTGTGACAAGCGATTTTCACTCGTTTATTTCTTCTGCTTCTCCTATTCGTTCACCCACTGTAAACTATGGCCAGAAAGTCCTGTTTACTAATTCATGTATGGACTAATCTTGTTCCAGAACTTGAGTTTTATTTACACCTTCATTTTACAGATCTGGCTTATTTGTATGCAGATTGTTGGTTCCCTGCCTCTCAGGGAGATGTTCTCTTACTTCGAAGGAAACACCCCCTAATTTGTTGACTTTTACAACATGCTCGTTGGTGAGGCAGTGGATCTATTCTCTACACACATGCATACTCACTCACATGCGCACACACTCACATGCGCACACACACACACACACTCACATATTACATTCTTTTTGTGTAGGCAGAGGGGTCTATTTTCTCCCCTTTCCCCCACAATTTTGCCACAGAACCCCCACAGGGAACTCACACTTTTGATGCTTGTGATGTGATCTTTCCAGATGAGACACTGGCTCAGAAGATGATGTTGTTACTGACAGAGTTATACCTTACAGTTCATCAGGTAAGCCAGTTATGTTTTTATTTTATGTTTTAAATAGTTTAGCCTCTCCAGGATTGGAGGCTGTAGAGGATATGAGAAGAAATGAAACAGACCCATCTGTCCGTATACTGACACACTGGCTGCCCCTAGGCATCTGTGTGGGAAATGTCAAATAAAACTATAATGGACACGGAAGTCCACTGTAGTCAAAGTCCAACATGCCACAGAAGCAAAGTACTCATTTTATGTAGGTAATCAAAATCCCAGGTCTGCAGGCTGCCTACTGTTGGCCTCGAAAGACAGCTCATAATGAATGAGATGTTCACTATATGGAAGTGAGGTTAAACAGTCATGAGCAGGACATGATGATTCCTTGGTTGAGCCCAGTACTAGAGCTCCGTGTATTGGCTCTGCATTTATAGAAGCCTCCTTGGATGGAGGAGAATGCTCATATTCTGACCCTGCCTTCTCTTGAGGGCTGACCAGCATTATGTGCCTTCTCTTGACCAGCCTTATGTGAGGCCCCACCGGTGACCTGGGAAACAAATATGACCACACAAAAAATGAGACTGCTATGCCCCATGAAAATAACAGGAAAGGTTAACCCATCAACAAAGGCCAAAAGGTGCTAATATCGCAGTCATGGCTGTAAACGGGCACAACACAATTACATCTTTGGATAAATGCAGAAAAAGAAGAAAACATCTCATGGATGAGAATCACACAGGTACAAATCCGGGAAACCCTGTTTAACCATATTGCCATTTAGCACAGTTATATTGGGGCACCAATGCCATGGACCATGTTGTGTGGAGGGGGGCACAGCAGGAAGGGAAAGAAGAAAGGAAGAAAGGAGGAGAGCTGAGCATTTGAGAAGAAACTAAATGCAAATGTTTTCAACCGGTCCTGAAATCCCATGCTGTAATTATGGAAGACTTTTCTTAGCGCGGGCCTGGTAGTCACACTCGCCATCGCCGTGGGTTGCAAGTCCCATGCCTCTTCTTAGCACAGTGTAACACCATTGTCTGGAAAGACGGAAAGGTGCCAGTCATTAGGGCACCATAAAACGTTTTTGAAGTAACATGTCCTGTGTGGGTGGCATTTATGATTTTGATGGATTTGTTCTCTCAGGACTCAGGAATAAAGACAGCTTACCAACGCAGTTACCATGGAGCCCACAAGCTAGCATTTTGATGAAAATCAGGCTTCTTCTTCTCTTTCTCTTTTGCCACTTCAGGTATTGAGGGAGATAATAAGGTTCTGCTTTTGGCTGTTCTAGCCGCCTTGACCGTAGACATATCGTGCTGTTGTACAGTTTCTCTGATGTTATCTTTCCATGTTCTTTGTCTCCCTTTTTAGTGTATGCCTTGTATAGTATGACGTCACATAGTTCTCTGATGTTAACTTTCCATATTGTTCTTGGTCTGCCTCTCCTCTGGTACGTCATAGCAAGGCATTCTCTCCAAGTGGGCGAACCATCTGATTTGTTGTCTGTTTCACAATCACAGCTCCTGATGACTGCACTAGCAATGCAACCTTAATGCCTCAGTCTCCCGAACACCCTATTCTGTAAACCCAAAGATAAATACAGGCAGTGCAGACAGTTGAATGTGTTTGTTTGACATTCTGCAGCCATATGATGCGATGCGGATGATAGTGAACATTGAAAAGTTTCTCTCTGGGAAAAGCCAGTCTTCTCAGGATAAGGACAAAGACAGGAATGACTCCATCTATGCAGCAGCGCAGGAAGCTTTGAAGGCCAAACTGACTTTGGTAATATTTTTTTTATTTGATATCAGTGTCATTTAAATCATTGTATGACCCTTCCTTCTTTCCTGTTTGTCTGCCTCCTCTCTCTCAATCCCTTTTTTCCTTTTTCTCTCTCCCCCCACTCTCTTTCCATCTTTTCCTGCCTTCTCTCTTTCTTTCTTTGTCATTCCTTTTCCACTTCCTTATTTCATTATTTCCTCCCTCTCTGCTTTCTTTCCTCACTCTCTTTCTGTACGCTCGATTCCTTCGTTCCCTTTCTCTGTGTCTTTTATTTCAACCTTTCCTGTCCCTCTACCTCATTTAATTCCTTCCTACCTCATTTTATCCTTCCTCCCACCCTTTATATCTCTCTCCTTCCTTCCATTCCTTCTCTCTGCATCTGTCACAGACCTCTGGGTGACCTTGCTGGTCCGTGGCTCGTAACTGGGCCTATGACAGACAGACTAACCTTTAACACACACTGAACCCGAACGCACACAGAGCACACACGACAATATTTTTTGGAAGTACAGGTAATACATAGACAGTTGACTTCCCGCTGTGTGGCCACCTATTGCCTGGACCCTCTGGCCGAACGGGCTTTACAATCGCCTCGTCCCCCAGTACGTGCTACAGGCAATCTCCTGGTGTACAAACCACAGCCCGGCGAGATACGTTCTTTTCTATCGCCACGCTGACCCAATCAAACTGTCACAGCCTCTGTCTAGCACAGGGTCAGAGTGCCAACGTTAGCCACTCTCTCACAGCACATGTACATAAATACTCTACACAAGAACTATCCTATCCTAACAGAACACTGTACATAAACTATCCAGTCACTAACAGAAATATCTTAACTCTAATACTATAACTGTCTTGCTAAACGTCCTCTCTTCCTGACCGACGCACACCGAATGTCCCGTTCTCTCTCCCTCGTGTCTCTTGACCCCGTTCACCAGCTCAGTCCCAAAAGCCGTAATCGTGTTGCGGATTTGTCCACAACACGGTTCACTCTTTCTTGCTTTATCCTGAGCGCTGGTTTCGCTGTGCAATCACAGAATGGACTTGCCCAGTCACGGCACTGACCTTTGTGTCAACCCTGGGGTGTCACCTCAACACGCACACCTTACGGTGTGGTACATTCCGCCACTGACTGTACTCACAGGGTTGTGACATTCACCCTTCCTCTGAACTGATACTTCCTGACAAAGTCAAGTATCAGCAAAGCATGGCCTGCCATCATGTACAGTCATCTTTTTAAATTTTATCGTCAACATTTAGTTACCTAAAAAAAAATAAGTCATGTACTTTTGGGTCAATCACCTAAGACAAACTATCTGGCACATATTTAATAGGTATATACATTCAATGGGTAAGCTCCTCCCTAATGGGTAGAAATGGTATCAGAATATCTTTGGCAAGAGTAATAATAATTTTTACAAATGTAAAGCATAAAATAAATTATTGTTTCATGCTTATTCCTGTGCTGCTTTTTTTCTCTCCTAACTTTACCCTCATTAATAGATTGTTTCTTGCACTCTAGTACAAAGTTCGCTGCAACTTAATGGCAAAGGTCATGAAAAACAAAAAGGAGTGCAAAGCATTACAAGGAAATGTAAGTAGCAATACTTTTCTTTAAAGGCATATACAAATTATTGCATGTAAATGTAAATGAATGAATGAGTCGAGAGTGGACATCACTGCATTTGGGGTATTCCCATACACCAATGGTTTAGGGGGGGGGTTGTTATACTTACATTTTGATTACATTTTTTTTTAAGTATCCAGAAATCATGAGTTGTAAACCCTTTGGCTCAGTACTATAGATATCGCAACCTTTCGGCCTTGATTCCATTATAGGTACCATTAATCTGGGAGAAATATGGCTTTTCTGCCTACCCCAGGGAGTGAACCCGGACCACAAGGAGTTCGTCACCTGGCCGCCGCGAAAGTCAGGTTAAACCAACTACGCTAATGATCTGTTATACTTACGTTTTGGTTTCATTACATATAAAATATTTTTAAAAACTATTATAACAAAATGACGAGGCCATTTTTGTTTTCATAAGCAGAAAAAAATTATAATTAATTTAATAAGACACATTTTTATGAAAGATTAGGAACACATTCTGACCAAAAAAGCATATCGTCATATTTTCTGTTTCTCTTGTTGCAGAGTCTATTGTCCTCTACTTTTTAGTCATACTTTGTTAATGGGGGGGGGGGGGGGGGGGGGGGTGTACGCGCGTAAAGGTCTTGCTGTATACTCAATGGGGGAGGGTTCTTGCTATATACTCAGGGTTAGGGAGGTTTCTGTGGGACTCTTGTCATATAGTCAAGACAAGGGGTGTGAGGTTGGGGGAGGGGGGGCAACTTTTAAGATAAGATAAGAGTTGGAGGCCACTGTAATTCACGATCCCTTCCTCCTCTTCTAGCCAGTGAAGTGTTCCCATGTTGATTGTGCTAGTTTCAGCATGATTAGAAGTTTGCCTTTTCCTCTCGCTGTTGGGTCAAAAGTCATATAGACCCTTTGTTCACTTCTAGCTGAATCATTCTCACCAGATATGACTGTTCTGTTACCTCCTGGTGTGGGCTCCGGAGGCCCCATTTTATAGGGGGGGACGGGACACTAGACCCCTGTTGTCCCCAAATCTTGTCATAGGAGGCGACTAATTAGGTGTTTCCTTCGAAGCCTAGGAAGGCAAGAGACCAAGAGTCTGCATACAGATAAACCTGACCTGTGAAGTGGATGTGTGTGCAACACTCAAGTTCTGAAATAAGACCAGAGTGCAGAAGTGGATGAACAATTTGCAGAAGTGGATGAACAATTTGTACTTTTACCGGAATTTACATCTGGTGCACGTGAAGGTTTGAGAGGTGGCCTAGGAGTTAGGCAAATTATACTCTCCACAAGGGTTTTCAGTGCGAAGTGGTTAGGCCTTTTGCCTCACACTGTAAAGGTAGTGGGTTCACTTTTGGACTGGATCCTTCAGTTTCCCAGTGCATGTATATGAGAGATCCCTGGGGTCATTACTGGAAGTTCAGTTTTCTGCTTTATGGCAGTGTCTTGGCAGCTGAACTGCCATCCTACTAAGGTATAACAGGCTGTAGAGGATAACACCCATGGCAGTGAAAATGGGCCTTTTAATGCTTTTTTCTTTAACTTATGTGAACAGTAATGCATATTTAAGGGACTCTGGAGTTTAGGCAGGGATTTTGTTTGTCCGTAGTCACGGCAAGTTTTCTTGGGACATAAGACAGACTGCTGAACTAGCCTTTTAAGTTGCCACATTGACATTTCAGTTAAGAGATCTATGAAGCTTTAGATTTGTTCAGCATGAACATGATGGTAGTCTTTGAACATTAAGTACAGAAAAAATCTGGATAGATTGGACAGGTAACACTACACCTGAGAGAGAGAGAGAGAAAGAAAGAGATGGGAAAATGAGAAAATTGAGAGAACAACAAAGGAATGGAGAGAGAGACAGTGATTATTGAAGAGTATTATCTCCTCAAAGGTTATACACTTGTGCAGTTTCTTTTACCTCCATCCTTTTTATGTTTAGAATTAGGGTTGTTGGGCATTTGTGCTTTCTTTCTTTTTAACAAACTTTCAACACACTCAAATAAAATAGAGGGAAGACCGAATGAACTGTTAAACGTGTGGTGGAAAAAAATCTGAAATTTTTTTATCCTGTGTTTTATTTGATTATTTCTAACAGGGCCAATTGGTGAATTATCTTTTTCTGCTTCAGCATTCCGAGCCTTTGAGGTTCATTGCTGCAGATATCACCCGCCTCCACTCATCTCTCTGGTTGGCCTTCTCTTTCCAGTTGGTGACACCAAGTGTTTGCAGATCTGCCTGGACATTATCTCTCCATCATCTTCTTGATCTGCCTCGTGGTCTACCACCAATCATCTCTTTGTGTATACAGTTTTTATTTCTCTGTCGTCTGACATTCTTTCAATATGCCCCAACCATTTCAGTCTATTAACTGTCATTATGCTAGTGATCAAAGGTGATTTAAACAGATTATGAATTTCGTTTTGTTGTTGCTTCTCACTCTCCATTACCCATTGTTTGCCTTTTTGATAGGTCCAAAGATTCGTCTTAAGACTGTTTTTGAAAACCTGTATTAAGGCTTCATCTCTTTTAGTTGTGTCTCAAGTTTCAGAGCCATATAAAACGACTGGTCTTATCAATGTTTGGTGTTGCGAGACAGACACTTTGACTTTAGCAGATGTTGAAGGGCATAGTATACTTTATTTCCAGATTGTATTCTGGATTGTGAATTATGATACAGCTAAAATTTTTGTTTATCAAATGTCATCTTTGATTATTTTGAACAGAGCCAGCCAGTAAATTACGTGAAGGCATACTATGAATATTTGAAAGGCAACTTGAAAAAGGCAGCCAAGATGTTAGGCAACCCCCCAGCTTTTCATGTAAGAATTTATTTGTTTGGAAACTTTCTTTTTCTGTAAGCCTTTATGTGTAAGCAACTTTCTAACTTTATTTAAACATTTATCACTTACACAGCTTTCTAACTTTTCTGGAAGCATTTATGTTTTAGGCAACTTTCCAGCTGTCTCTGTAAGGTTAGATAACATTCCAACTTTTGTGTAAGCATTTTTATGTTAGGCAGCTTTCCAACTTGTTTAAAAAGCATGTTAGGCAACTTTCTGTATAAGCTTTTATCAGTTAGGCAACTTTCTAACTTCTCTGTAAGCATTTATGAGTTAGGCAACTTTCCAACTTTTTTGTGTAAGCATTTATATGTTAGGCAGCTTTCCAACCTGCTAGCATGTGAATTTTAGTTTGAGGTGTCTGGTAAAGGACAGCTAACTTTAACCTTTCTTCTTTTTTTTGTATCCGATCTCAGATATCCCCCACCAGCGGAGAATGTCTGGCAGTAATGTACGCCAACAACCAGGCACTTATCAACATGTGCCTGAACAAACCCAACCTGGCTGTCTGTCAGCTGCGAGATGCTCTCAGGTTCAACGAGAAAGCCGTCAGGGAAGCTGTGCCCAATGATAAAGGTCAGTTTTATCTATAGTACAGTTCTGATTGATTGATAGGGACCTTTTCATCTTTCCAGGCGAAATTGTTATATTTCGCTATGAGGAGGCATGGGACTCACAGCCCATAGTGACGGTCAGTGTGACTAGCAAGACACCCTGCGTTAATTAAGGCCAGGAATGAAGTTCCTCCTCTTGATAGCACAAAGCCTGGGCAGTATTGTAGAGACCATATGTTGTCCATGTATCACGATCTTTCACCTTGTTTACTGTAAAAGAAAGGTAACACCTGTACATTTGGAAAAAAGCAGGCTGCAGAAGCTGCCGGATGAGAAGAGAAATGTGCTATTAGTCCACCTTTCTGAGCTTCCCTCCTAGACCAGCTGCCAGCCAAAGCTAAGGGCCTAGTCTGCCCTGCTATAACATTAAAGTTTTCAGGCTGTATTCCCTCTTCCTAGAATAAGGCTGGTATCGTCCTAAATGAGCCACTCCGCCTGAAGCCGATGGCACAGTGTGGGATGTCAGGTTTGTTAGAGCGCAGTTTTCGCTCAGAGGTTTTGCGCTCTGCACTGGTTTGTGCGGACTTAGTTTATTTCATAATCTGAAAAATATTTTGATGTGTGATCTTATTTGTCCGGTTTCTTCTTCTTCCTCCTCCTGCGCTGCTGCTTCTTTTCAGGTATGTTTTTATAATTAAAAAAATTTAAAAAAAAAAGATGATAAATAGCTCCATTCCCACTATTTCTTCCTTATTTGCCTCCGACCCTTCTTCTATTCCAAATCTTTGGACTTATAAAACGGGATGAGTACCAAAAAATTTTCCCATAAGAAATGAAGGGAGAACGGTTTATCCATTTCCATGGAACAAAATCCTATTGTTATTGGCAACCTCACCTTTGCTTTGCTGAGAAGAGTTGAGTGCCTACTGGAATTGTGCTGACAAGGCATGAAGAGAAGGAAATGTTATTGTTTGGCTGGAGAGTCCTATTCCAGTAAAACTTCAGGAATCTGAAATTCTGGTGTTTGTCTTTCTTTTTTTTTTACTTCTCTCTTTTCCCCGCTTGGACCTGGTTGGGGCTCACGTTATAGCAGACAAGTCATATTTAAAAAAAAAAAGGTTGTATACAAAGCAAAACTTTTAACATCTAAAGAGGACATATACCAAGTTTGACTTATTTTTCTTCTTTGCCAGCTATAAACTCCGGTGGACAATTCTGATTGTTTGTCCACTTCTAGACTTTAGTCTTATTCCAGAACATGAGTATTGTATGCGCACCAGTTTTACAAATCTGACTTTGCATATTGTTTGTTTCTTGCCTCTCGGGGCAGATGCACTCCGATTTTGAAGGAAGCCCCTAATTAGTTGACTCTGGTGACATGCTTTTTTGTGTGTGTGTGTCAAGGCATTAGGTCCGGTTTTTTTCCTCTTAAAGGGTCCCAGAACCCACACGGGAAGGACTTATAAAGAGGGCGTCTCCTGAGGTACCTCTTTATTTTTATTTTGAAAAATGAAAAAGGTAAATATCAAGCGTTAATAAATTCTCTTTATTCTTTTGCTGCTTCCAATGAGGCATATACTCTTGACCAACTCATGCTGACCTCATCGTAAAATTGAATTTGGTTGGATTTTTTAATCGGAGTATTCTGTGGCGTTCTGCAACATCCTGTAAAAGGATACTAACCTTGTTAAGAGGCGGTGAATCTTCACTGTCTTGTATCCACCTTCACTGTCTTGTATCCACCTTCACAGAGGTTTGCCTCTGCCTGATGTATTTTTTAATCCTTCATCACCATTCTCTCCAGGCCCCCATGATGTTTAACATTGTCAAAACACCCCAGCTTTCAGGTCAGGGTGCTGTTTATGAGACAATTCTCCTTGACGACTCTCAGATCATGGAGGATGTCAATGTTTTTCTTCTTCTTGGTCCATGTTGTTCTACAAAATTTGTCTGTGTAATAGCTCTAGAACAATCTAATACTGTTTCTCCTTGGTCTATGTTGTTCTACAAATGTGTCTGTGTAATAGCTCTAGAACAATCTAATACTGTTTTTCCTTTGAACTGTCTCCAGCGCGACCTCCACTACAGGTGAGCTTCATCAGTCAGCACTATGTCCTCTTCTACAACCTGGGTGTGCTGCAGCTTCACTGTAAGAGGCCCAGTGCTGCCTTCGACTGTCTGGTGGAGTGTGTCCAGGTCTTTCACAGAAACCCCCGCTTGTGGCTGCGACTGGCCGAGTGCTGCATCATGCACTATAGAGAGGTAAGGCTGTTTGTAAAGTGGTACTATTGTTAGTGAGAAATTTTTTGCAAGTCATCATCATGTGCCCTGCTGACTGGCGTAGGCGCTCATGCGTCTCCATAGATCATGATCCCTGGTTGCCTGGAACAGCTCTCTTGATGATATCCCTCCATGCCATCATTTCAGCCCATCCAGCATCATCTCTCTTGATCTGCCTCTACCCGTTTTTCCACTGATTTTTCCAGTTGTCACGATGTTCTCCAATGTCTCTCTTCTCATTATATTTCCAAAGAACAGTGTTTGTCTCTTGCAAGCGGGATGTGGTTTTATAAAGGAATGATGAGAATACCCTGGACAGATATTTAAAAAAAAGTTATGAAGAGGCTGAGCTCCAAGAACAACTGATTGCCTGCATCAATCCAGACCATGCCAGTTTGGATTTTGTTTTATTTGAACTGTAGATTCAGAAATCCTGTTACAAATGCAGCTAAAGTCTTTTCTCAGGACCTTGGAGGGCAGAATGACAGAGGAGGCCTGAAAACATATAGAGAATAAAACTGGAGACAGAGGATAATGCTGTTTTGGTCACTGTTAAACAGTTTGAAACATTCATCTGTTGTGAATTTTTCTCCTACCTAATTTCTTTCACAGTGTGTTTTTTCAAGAATATTTTTGCATTGTGTGTCTTTTCCATTATTTGTTTTTTCTATTTATCTTTTTCATAATTTGTCTTTTTTATTATTTGTCTTTTTTGTTACTCATCTTTTCCATAATTTGCCTTTTCCATTACATCTCTTAGCATTAATCTTTTCCAGCAGGTGTCTTTTCTCTTACATCTCTTAGCATGTGTCTTTTCCAGCAGGTCTTTTTCCTTAAATCTCTTAGCATGTGTCTTTCCCATTACATCTGTTCTGTTAATTTTTATGCCCGGTGTTCTTTTTCTCTATGCCATGTGTCTATTCCATTACATCTCTAAGCATATGTATTTTCCAGCAGGTGTCTTTTCCATTACATCTTTTCTAGGATATTTTGTCCATTATTTCTTCCATTATTTGTCTTTTCCATTACATCTCTCAGCAAATGTCTTCTTCTGGCTGTCTCTCCCTTTTAGTATGTGTCTTTCCCAGAGCATCTTTTTCTGTCTGCCTCTTTAGCATGTGTCTTTTCCAGTTATATTTGTGTTTTATTCAGCTGTCTTATTCAGGGAGTGCTTATTTTAATAAAATGTGTAAAGTGTGTCTCTTTTCCAGTAAGTGTCATTTCTGTTCCCTTAGTTGAGTGTCTATGTCGTAGTTTTGTTGTTATTTACTTCTTGATACCAGCTCCTGACACTTACCCTTGTTTTGCACAGAACAACGATGTGGACCGGGAACACAAACTGAAGCTGGACGTTATACAGGCCTCTGTGGGCTCGGGCTTCCACCACAAGCTTATCTTGGGGCAGGGCGTTCAGAGAAACAAGAAAGTGTGAGTTCTTCCTCCTTCCACTTCCTTCATGCATTGATCCAGTTGTTATTATTCTTTCTGATATCTAACCTTTCTGCATTACAGTTTTCTTCTTTTTTTTTAAAAAAATACAGTTTGATTTATTTCTTCCTTCCTTACTGTCTTCCTTCCCCTTCTTTCCAAACTTTCTTCCTTTTTCACTTTCTTCTTCCTAACTTTCTTCCTTAATTTTTCTTTCTGCCTTCCTACCTTTTCTCATTACTTTCTTTTGTTTTCCCTCTTAAGTAAGGATTGGAGATTTCTTTCTGTTGGGAGCAAAAATAAAACCTGCACAGTTTGTGATGACTGCATTGGCCATGTGGTCTTAAATCTTCGGTTTCATGATATCCACCCTTCCCCCTTTTCCATCATTGTACACTACCCTAAAAGTGATAAGTACAGGCAGTTTAAACAGTTTTTACACTTCAGTTTTGGTAATGTGGGGACCCCCCCCCCCCCGCCACTATTTAAGCCATTGGTACACACAGATTACAGCTTGAGGGGCTAAGCTGAAGCCGGAATTTAAAAAAAAAAAAAGATAGAAAGCAAGCATCCCACAGGGATGGCCGACACATCTGACTTCCTCAGGCGTTTTCTCCCCTAGTTGGCCATCATGGCTCCAATTTGTGTGTGTTTTTTTTTTTTATTATAGACTAATTAGAACTTGATGCCAAATGTAGTCAGTCTCACAGTGGCCACCCTCACTTTCTGGGGCCAGCCTTTAGTGAGTTCATTAACCACTTGTAGGATCTGAAGCCCCAATTTGGGATGGAAGAAAAAACAGAATAGACCCTCTTCTCTGAAGCAAGCATGTCATAAAAGGTGCTGATTGAGAGTTTGCTGTGTTATACCACTGGGCACATGTATCACTGCCTAGCTGTAAACCACAATTCAGCGTGCTAAATCCCTTTTAAAGAGTGAATACTAAAGAAGAAGAAGAAGAAGGATTCATTAAAAATTAGCAGATGAGGGTTTGGCCATCTGGTTGAAGGTTGAATTAAGAACCCACAACCTAGCACCTGGACATTCCCATAACCACTCTGTCCTCATCTTCAGCAGTAATCACAGGGTTCCAATTCCAGTGGAACCAGTAACTGTCTGATTGTATATCCATCCCACTTTTCCCTTGAGTTTCTGCCAGATCCCCTGGCCACTTATCGCAGGGCCATTCTCCTCAGACCTTGATGGTCTGTTTATGCCTCCACACTGTTCACTTGCTTCCAAAGGACCCTTACAACTTCTAGCTTGTCATGTGTCAATTCACCACCAAGTCGCGCAGAACCAGCCAGTCTGTCCCTCTATTCGTTTCCAACACCCCTCTCACATCTGGAGAAAATAATTTTTCAAAAATTCAAAATTTTTGGCCATCTGCCGAGAATGCTCTGGTATCATCGACTGCCACAGAGAGCCAGGCTGGTGAAATATAATAAACACAGAGCACAGGAGAAGACCACAGAAACTGTGGAATGATGGTATCACAAACAGCCCTAAAGAAATTAAGATCAACTTATACAACAATTAAAAATAGCACACCATGATCCTTACATCTCCCCCTCAACACTTCAGTTAGGTAACTGGAGAAAGAGAAGAAGAAGAAGAAGAATTTATTAAATTTTCAAAAAGGTAAATTGCCTGTAAAATCTGACATGAATGTTCAAGATCAGTGTTGATGTGTTCCCCCTGGCAGGGCATCATCAGGTGGTGTATTTCCGACCCTGAGTCTGGGGTTTGCCTCCTTCTGTTTGAAAAATGCTCTGGCACTGTTACCTGTGGATCCTCTGGATGTCAGACCCCCGCCCCAGGATGAACAGGCAGAGTCCGGGTGAGTTCTTCTCCATGCTGTTTTTCTGTGTGTTGAGTTTTTTTCTGTGTGTTGAGTTTTTCCTGTATGTTGAGTTTTTCTGTATCTTGAGTTTAGGGGTTAGTATGATGGCGATGTTTGGTAGTGAAGTGGTTAGTATGATGGCGATATTTGGTAGTGAAGTCATTAGTATGATGGCAATGTTTGATAGTGAAGTGGTTAGTATGATGGCAATGTTTGGTAGTGAAGTGGTTAGTATGGTGGCGATGTTTGGTAGTGAAGTGGTAAGTATGATGGCAATGTATGGTAGTGAAGTGGTTAGTATGATGGCGATGTTTGGTAGTGAAGTGGTTAGTATGATGGCAATGTTTGGTAGTGAAGTGTTTAGTATGATGGCGATGTTTGATAGTGAAGTGGTTAGTATGGTGGCGATGTTTGGTAGTGAAGTGTTTAGTATGATGGTGGTGTTTGGTAGTGAAGTGGTTAGTATGATGACGATGTTTGGTAGTGAAGTGGGTAGTATGATGGCAATGTTTGGTAGTGAAGTGGTTAGTATGATGGCGATGTTTGGTAGTGAAGTGGTTAGTATGATGACGATGTTTGGTAGTGAAGTGGGTAGTATGATGGCGATGTTTGGTCATGAAGTGGTAAGTATGATGGGGATATTTGGTAGTAAAGTGGTTACGGCAGCTGTTTGTCATGAATTATGAATGCAGTCTCATAATTCCATCATATCAACATTCGAAGTCAGGTAGCGGAAGTGTTTGTAGTAGGATGCTTTACATTGGTTTTGATAACAGTGTATCCTTGTTCTTCTTCTGCACGTTAACCGGCTGTAAACTCTGGCGAAAAGTTAATATTTCCGTACTTTAATTTTGCTTCAGAAATTTAGTTATTTAGTTTTGCATGCACATCTGTTCTACAGATCTGGCAGACTGTTGGTTCCTCGAGTCTCTGACAGATGAACTCCCACTTCAAAAGAAACATTCTTATTAGTTGCCTTGTACAACATGCTAGTTAGGGAGAGAGGCCGTCGGTCTATTCTGACCGCCTTCCCCAAATAGAGCCTTTGAACCCACACAGGCAAACAACGGTATGAGCATTGGACTAATTAAGACAGAAATGGCAAACTAGTGAACGTGAAATTATCTTGTAAAAACCACAGACAGCTCGCCGGTTAGTAAAGTAAAGGATTCTTCTAAACACCTTTGGGCATATAGGGCTAGACCTGTGTTTTGTAGACCAGTTGGCACTCGGTTGGGGGGGGGGGGCGTGGTCAACATCATGCCAGCCACTTTTACTTCCCAGGACTGTGCCTGGTATTCACTCATGGCTGATTCAACCTGAGAGCAAGCTCGCCAATTGGTCTACAAAAATATTAATCTAGCATCATTTACCTAATCCTCCTCCAGCCATTTCTGAGAGAGCCGCTGTTGTGTAGCGGCTAGATACCTGCCTGCGGATCTGAAGGATATGGATTCCCTTATTTTAATGACCTTGACTTCCAGCTCGACCCAGCCTTAAATAGGTACCAGGTAAAGTCCTGGGAAGTAAAGGCGGCTGCTATGATGCTGACCACATCACTTATCAAGTACTGATAGTGGTCTATAAAATATAGCTCTAGCCTTATATGCCCAGCTCACCTAAAGGTGCGGCAGAGGGCCCTTGACTTTCTTTTCAACCGTATCTGACTAGAATGCTGCTATATTCCAGCTGATCGGCTGGTTGTTTCCATTTCTATTCTAGAGTTGTATTTTGCTTGCCTTCCAGGCCACCTCCGACAGACCCCTTGCTGATATCTACAGAACCTGGGAACCCACTGAGGGAAACTGAAGTGGCAAACCTCAGGTGGGTTTTGTTGCTTTTAAAAAAAATATAAAATAATGTTGGGTAATTGTTTTATTGTTTGGCATTTTTGTATGCATGCTTTTTTTTTTCTATTGGTATGTGATATAATTTTTTTTAATAATTTCAGTTTATTTTTGTGATAGTTGTGGAAAAACTAATGGTTTTTTTGGGTAGCTTTTTATGTGTGGGGTAATTCTTGGTAAACAAGCTTTATTTGGTGGCTTTTTGTATCTGTGGCAATTCGGGTGAAATGTTAGTCTGTTTTGTGGCTTTTTGTATGTGTGGCAATTCTGTGGGAAATGTTGGTCTGTTTTGTGGCTTTTTCTATCTGTGACAGTTATTTAGAAACAGAGTTTGTATTTTTGCTTTAAAAAAACAAACAGAAAAAGTAGTATAGCAATAAATGTAATCTAATAATATTTTAAATCTAATCTAATAATGTTTTAAATCTAATATATTAATGTTTTAGATCTAATATAATAATGTTATAAATCTAATCTAATCTAATAATGTTGTAAATCTCATCTAATAATGTTGTAAATCTAATCTAATAATATTTTAAATATAATCTAATAATGATGTAAATCTAATAATGTTATAAATCTAATCTAATAATGTTATAAATCTAATCTAATAATGTTATAAATCTAATCTAATAATGATGTATAATCTAATAATGTTGTAAATCTAATCTAATAATGTTGTAAATCTAATCTAATAATATTGTAACTCTTATCTAATAATGTTGTAAATCTGATCTAATAATGTTGTAAATCTATTCTAATAATATTGTAAATCTAATCTAATAATGTTGTAAATCGAATCTAATAATGTTGTAAATCAAATCTAATAATGTAAATCTAATCTAATAATGTTGTAAATCAAATCTAATAATGTTGTAAATCTAATCTAATAATGTTGTAAATCTAATCTAATAATGTTGTGAATCTAATCTAATAATATTATAAATCTTAGGTAGCAGAAATGCTCTAGGGGACTAGACTGCTAGCCCTGTGTGACTTATAACATCATGACAGGATGATTACGGTGCCAATGATCTGTTGTCTCTGTATTTTCTCCCTTGACCAGGTGTTCCATCCTCGCTGCCAGCGCCTATGTTGCCCTGTGTGAAAACGAGTATTATAAAGCTCTTGCTCATGCCGCCAACCTTCTGCGCCAGCCAAACCTTTCTCCTGCTCAAAGGTAAAGCTTGGTTGTGTTGATTTAAATTATATAACATATTTAGGAGATACTGTGTTGAGTTAGGAACTCCCAGTGTATGTTGGGGGCCTCATTTTTGTGAGGAAAAGAAAAGATTCCAAATGTATGTTGTGAAAGGCATCTAATTAGGCCTATTCAAACTTCGATTGAAGTCAGAGTGCATCTACCTGAGGCAAGAGACCAATAATCTGCATAAAAACAAGCCAGGTTTGTAAAACGGATGTGTATGCAAAACTCAAATTCTGCAGCAAGGCTAAAGTCCAGAAGTGGACGAACACCCAAATCTTTCCATCAAAGTTTACAGCTGGTGAGCATGAAAAAGAATAAGAAGAAGAATTAAGAGCATACAGCACTTGGGACATTCCCATAAACGCTCCATCTCCATCTTCAGCATCAAGTCCCAAATTCTGATGTTACCTGTGGCAGTTTGCTTGTATCACTGTCATGCCTCTTCTCAAAGTGTTGAATCTTGGAGGGCCAGATCTCCTGGCACTTCCTGCTGTACCATTCTTTACCGATCAGGATGATCTATGTGAATTCTATAATTTCCTATTAGTCTTTAAAAAAGTCCGCTCTGTGGCTAAGTCGATGCAAGCGCTTCATAATGCCGGGATACCAGGTTAGATCCCAGCTGCGGGCCATGCGCCTTGCATTGGTTTCGACAGTGGCATCAAGAAAGCCGACTGTCCAGAAAGCAATGGCAAACTACTAGACGTATATTTGCCAAGAAAAACCTCACAACAGCCAGGAGCTGTTAGGGTTGGTTCTGAAACGTCCTGTAAAGGATACACAACTAACCTTTAAAAAAAAATAATAATTAAAAAAAATGTATCCCTAAAAGAATTACTTGTCCTTCCATTTACAGAACATCCCATTCATCCATTAACCAATTTTCCTGTTTATCCATTAACCAAAAGTACCTATTCTGAGGCCATCAGAACCACCTGTTCATCCTTTAACAAACTACCTAATAATCCTTTAACAAAAATACCTATTCATACACAAAGAAAATGATTTGTACCTGTGAACATAAGTTCTGTATCCAACTGACAGATACCTGGGCTACATGTACAAAGGGGAAGCTCTGATTGCTTTGGACCGGATAGCGGATGCTGTGGATACTCTAAACCCGGATAATGTGACAGATGTTAGTACAACCTTACCAGAGTCTGTGACAGATCAAGGTAATCTTTTGTTTGCTTGTTTGTTTAGAACCCTTTTCACCAGGGACTTATGAGACATGTGGTGCAGGATCCATGTGTTTATCGACCAGTCAGCATTTCTTCTTTGCATTCACCGGCTGTAGTCTTTGTCACAAAGTGCTGGCTGTTCATCCACTTCTGGACTTTGGTCTTGTTCCAGAACTTGAGTTTTGCATGCACAATTATTTTATTTTTTTTAAAAACAGATCTGGTTTATTTTTATGCAGACTGTTTGTTTCCTCATCTCTCAGGGTGATTCACTTAGACTTTGAAAGAAACGCTCTTTTTGTTTGCCTTTTACAACACGCTTGTTAGGAGGGCAATCGGCCTCTGTGGCTTGGGCGCTGAGAATGCGCTTCATAATGCCGATCCCAGCTGTGGACGATTTGCGCTGGTATTGACAGTAGTACTGAGAGCTGACCATTCAGTAGCAGTGGCACACTGTCTAGAAAAACCTCATCAGCCCCCCCCCCCCCCTCCCAAATGCTGGGGTTGGTTCTGCAACATCCTGTAACGGATACGCAGCTACCTTGTTGTAAGGGCGTCGGATCTAATCTTGTTTTTCCCGCCCAAATTCAAAAAAGGGCCAGTTGGCGTCTGGCATTGTAAAAGTTCTTCATAATTCTGAGGTATCTGCGAAACGTTTGATTCCAGCCACGGGCGATTTGACAGCAAGCCACCTTGCCTTGAATTGAACATGGGTTTCAGGAGGTGACCATTATGAAAGCAGTGTCAAATTACTAAAAGTAGAACTGTCTAGTTAAACTGAACAGCTAGACAATGCTGCGGTTGGTTCTGTAAATCCTGTAACGAATAGGCAACTGACGTTTAACTGTGATTAAACCAGTTTTAGTTCCTGTTAAAGAATGTGAACCCTTTAAGTTACCAAGCATGTGAGGCTACAGACACCATCTTATGGCTACAAACACAAGTATAGCTACAGACACCACAGTGAGGCTACAGACACCACAGTGAGGCTACAGACACCACAGTGAGGCTACAGACACCACAGTGAGGCTACAGACACCACAGTGAGGCTCAGACAACAATTTATAAATTACACGCCATATATCTTTTTATAACTGATGCTGAATTACAAATCAGAGATTTAGCTGGTGGAGAAGGAGGAGAAGAAATGTGAAAAAGAACTATAAAAAGTGGAAGAGAAGAAGATGATAAGAAACAGAAAAAGAAGCAGAAGATTGTGACAAAAATTCTGGATTCTTGATGAAAGAAGAGGCAAAAGATATGATGAAGTACAAGATGATGATGACAGCGTGAAGAAGAAGCAGCAGAGGATTATGTTATTCTTCTTCCTTGCATTGATGCTGTAATCTGGTTGTTCATCCACTTCTCAAATTGTCTTGCTCCAGAATTTGAGTTTTGGGTGCACATCCGTTTTACAGATCTGGCTTAATTATAAGCAGACTGTTGACTTGTCACCTCTTCCATAGATGCACTCTGACCTGAAGGGAAACACCCCTAATTAGTCGACTTTCAGGACATTTTTGTTCAAAAGGCTTTTGTTCAGCCCCCCCCCCCACCCCCTCTTTTCCAGAAAGGGGCCCCTGAGCCCACACAGGGAGCAGATGAACATGAAGAGGAGAAGGATGTATCAACTCGTGATTATTTTAGTCATTTCCATATGCATTTTTAATGTATCTCTCGCTCAGTTCATTTCAGTATTGACTGATAAATAAGCATCAGTGAAGATGATTTGACGTTTATTTATTTTTTTTTAGAAAAAGACCAAGAAAAATTGGCAGAGAACAGAGGTGAGTGTTTGTCTTGTTTGTTCTTGCACTCTATCTATGTGTGTGTGTGTGTATATATATATAATATATATGTGTGCACAGAGGAGGGTCTGTGAAGACTTAGTCTTGTCCTGTTGATTTTCCTGTTTATGTTTTTAAATAGCATATCCATTGTTTTTTTGGGGGAGGGTCAGTTTTAATTTTTTTTAAATTAATTATTGGTGTCTAGTGTGTTGCCTGTTTGTATGTGATATTAACGTTTGAGTAAAATGTACAAACACACACACACATGGAGAAAAGGAGAAACAAAGTTAATAATCTTTAAGATTTGATTTAATTTATTATTTTTACACAATTCTAGAATCCCTGGTGAAATGGCAGCCGTCCAATGTGACTGTAGCCAGGGCATTCATGCAGTACAACCTGGCCGTAATGACTGTGTTAAATTAAATAGTTAAATTAATGACTGTGTTCCTCATTAATGACTTTGTTAAATTAATGACTCATTAAATTAATTCCTGTGTTGATTAATGACTGTGTTAAATTACTGTGTTTAAATTTGACTGTGTTAAATTAATGACTTAGTTTCCTCTGTGTTAAATTAATGAGTTAAATTAATGACTGTCATAAGTTACTTTTCTTATCTATTGCTGTGTTCATGACTGTGTTAAATTAATGACTGTGTTAAATTAATGACTGTGTTAAATTAATGACTGTGTTAAATTAATGACTGTGTTAAATTAATGACTGTGTTAAATTAATGACTGTGTTAAATTAATGACTGTTTCAGAGTTCTGAGAAAGTGGGAACACCCATTCCAGTCCACATGTTTTATTTGAAACTCTACTTGGATCTGAAACAAGGTAGGTGGTGTATCCGCACTGATGGTTCTGCTCTCCTGCAACTGATTTATCCACTCTTCCCTGAATGGTTTTCGGGGCCCCCACATTTTGGTTGAGGAAGAGGGGGGGGGGGGGGTGGGATAGACCCATTGTGCCCTCTAACAAGCATGTCGTCAAAGACAACTAATTAGAAGCTTACCAAAATTGGATGTGTGTTGGGATGAAAGACGCAGGATATCGCAGCCTGGCTGTAAACCACAAAACAACGGGTCAGCCACACACGATGAAGAAGAACAATATTCTTACATAATAAGAACAGGCTAGGACAAGGAAGAGCTGCATGTCTGAGGAGGAAAAGCATTTTGTATATCTTGAGACACTTGAGTGTCAGAAAGAGAATACTGAAATGATGTACTCCCAATGTGGGTTCTGGGGCTCCACTTGGGGGGGGGGAGAGAACTAGTTTAGTGCCCCCCTAGCAAGCATTTCATAAAGGGTGAATAATTAGGGGTGATTCCTTTAAAGTTGGAGTTCAAATGCTTGAGAGGTGAGGAACCAACAGTCTTCATACAGAAAAGCTATATTTGTAAAATGGATGTGGAGGCAAGACTAAGAAGGAGGAGAAGAAGATGAAAAGCACCCAAAGCCAGAGATCGAGGAGGGGGGAGGGAGACAAGAACACCTGTGCCATCTGACAGTGTACCTGACTAGAGCTTTCTTCTAGGGAAAAAAACGCCGATAACCACCACAAAGTGTATATTAAAAAAAAGGCCAGTGGCACTGAAAAAAAAAGTCTAAGATAGATGCTAGTACCGCATACCATTGCATACTACCAGAAGAAAGTTCTGTTGTTTTAATGTTGTTTCTACGCTGGGGCTCAGACATCTGGCTTATGATAATTTCCATTTCAACATTTTGACCCTTGAGTAGCCTTGATTGAATAACCCAGGCTGGAAGGTCTATGGTTTAATCATTTTTCATTGTTCATTTAAAGATCACACGTACATGACTATAGGTGCTCCGATCTACTCCTGAGTATGTTTTTTTAGGCTAACTATTCCCAGTCCGTTGTGGTTGATGTAACGGCTGGTGGCTCACATATTGTTTTCCTTTCTCTCTGCTCCAGTTGATACACCCAGTGTATGCAGTCTTTTGCCATGAAACTGAAAGCCTTAGCGTTTAGTCTCTTGTTTGGCATTGATGATGTCTCTCCTGTCCATAAATGGCTCACTCCTGATAGTCACACTGCAGGTCTATGGTTTAGACACTGAGGCGCTGATGAAAACAACAATTTAACGCTACTCTTGGTTTAACTCAGCCTAAAATGGATATCAGGTAGTATTCTGGGAAGTAAAGGTGGTTGGTAATAATATGTCTACCACTATAGGTCATATGCACTAAAGGAATAACAAGGGTCCACTATACTTTCTGAATATAGGGGCAGTTTTAATTAAAAAATAAGCACAACAGAAATTGTTGTTCTTCTTCTTTCGTTTGCTTGAAATAGATTATCTATATCTGCAATGTAGTCTCTAGTATAAACTTCACTGTCTTTTGAAATTCACTCAGCGACCCGTAAAGTTTGACTTGCACCGATTTTTCTCTTGGCCAAAAGTTTTGCCTTGATATGTTGTATTTGGGACAGTCTTGGAGGACATGATCTGTTGTCTCAGGTGCCAATCCCTATGTGCACATGGCTGATTCGCCGATTTTTAATTTTGTGTACATGTTGCTGCGAAGTGGATTGTGTCCTGTTCTAAGGCATAGAATAATAACTTGCTTTGGTCTGTCCCTAAAAGGGTAATTGTTTTGTGCCGGTTTCGGTGGCTTTATGATAGATTTTTTATTATTTCTTTCTTTTGTTGAGAAGAGACTGTTATGTCAGGTTGTTCTTCATTTGCACCTTCCTTAGCTAGTTTATCAGCTCTTTCATCTCCAGGAACTTCACAGTGCGATGGTATCCATTGCATAGTTACCTTACACCAGCTGCCACAAATATTGTCAAATGAATTAAAAACAGCAACTGTTGTGTATTTTTATAAGCTTTTATTAAGTTCGCTTTTGCTTGTTTGATTTGTATACTTGTCATTGTAATCTATGAAAAATAATATTCAATTTTATTTTAAATAGGAAACAAGCAGGGAGCTATCAGCATCATCAACGAGCACTTTGGATATATTTCAAGGAACTGATTTCTATTTGGCACTTCACCATACTATTCACAGACTTCATTTGTGACTTTTTAGTGATCAAAAGTGAATTTGACTGCATCACTGGTGTTTCTGGTTGTAGCAAGGATATACTGTAATGTAGATAGGGAAATGTAATGTAGATGGGGAAATTCATGGAAAAGTTATGTTCTTTGGTTGTAATAAGGAAATATCATAGTGTAAATGGCTAAAAATAATAAAAAAAGTTAGGTGCATATTCTTTACAGGACTTTGCAGAACCAACCCCAGCAGTTTTTGGCTGTTGTGTGTGTTTTTTTTAAGGTAAATTTACATCTAGTAGTTTGCCATTGCTTTCTGTATGATCGGCTCTCAATACTACGCAAGACCTGCAGCTGGGATCCAACCTGGCATTAGGAAGCGCGTTTGCAGCGCATAAGCCAGAAACATAATATAATGTAGCTGGAAAAATAATGGTTTTTCTAATTGCAACATGGAAATAATGTAGAGAGGATGGTTAAATAATGGTTTTTCTAATTGCAACATGGAAATAATGTAGAGAGGATGGTTAAAAAATGGTTTTTCTAATTGCAACATGGAAATAATGTAGAGAGGATGGTTAAATAATGGTTTTTCTAATTGCAACATGGAATTAATGTAGAGAGGATGGTTTAAATAATGGTTTTTCTAATTGCAACATGGAAATAATGTAGAGAGGATGGTTGAATAATGGTATTTCTAGTAATTATGCATATATATCATGAAAAGATATAAAACCGAATGAAAGTATATCAGCGAGCGTTATAGCGTTAACAAACACAAACGAAACGTGAGTGTCGCGGCTACAGAGCCATCATCAGCACATACAAAAATCAAACAGAACAACAGGAATACACAGAATGACTTAACTGACTAATCCTGAAGCAGCCACGTTGTTGTCTTGCGAGTGGAATAGTAATTAAGCAGATAACTCCCATGTCCATGATATTTCTTATATCCATTTTAGCTAGAATTACCTGGAAGCAAAAAAAAAAATTTTTGTTTAATCTGCTTCGATGGAAATTCAAACCTTTGAAAGTTGGCAGGAGATCGGGTGCCTTTTTGGGGTTCGATGATAATGACATTCTGCAAAAGACTTCTACATGATGTTGGTAACTGTGTTAAAGAGAAATAGATCGGTAAATAGCACAACATGTAGAGATAAATGAATAGCAGAACTAGTATAGATCCTTACATATTGTATGTATAGACTTCTATGGAATGAATGCAAGACAGAAGCAAGGAAAGATAACTGAGATAAAGGGAAATAACTTTGTTTTAGTAAACTACCTTCTTGTTGAAACTTAAAAAGCTTTTGTTTGTTTATATTTTTTTTGGTTTAATTGTTTGTTTGTTTGTTATGTGCTTTCACAAATTTGTGAGCTTCCCTTAAATATCTAGATTCTACCTGGCAGTAATGGATTATCCACTTTTGATTTCCTTCTCGAGCTGAGGGAAGATGTCATGTCTGAATGTATCATCCGTCTCGCCATTTCCTTGAGTGTTGAGTGTCGGCCAGATCCACCTGGTTACTCCCCGCAGCGCCATTTTCCTCCGACCATAATGATCTATTTTTGCCTCTGCCATGTTCACTCACTACCACAGAGCTGCCTCACACCATCTAGCTTGTCATACATGAATTCATCACTGAGCGGTGCAGAACTGGGCTACATAAATGATGTCATGAGATGAAACTAAGACATGCAACTTTTCAGACACATACTGTGCTGACAACTGACCCTGTATTTGAAAGTTCAGTTGAGTTAAGAACGAACATCATAGCTCTTGGTATATTTCCATAAGCGCTCCATCCCCATCTTAAGCAGCAAGAAATGAGTTCCAGTTGTGATGGTGCCAGTGGCACTCTGATTGTGTGTCCGTCTTGTGTGTCCCCTGAGTGCAGTGCAGGCCAGATCTAAAGGGCACCATTGTCTTCCGACTGACAATCTAGATATGTCTGCATTGTTCACTTGCTGCGAAAGGGCCCTGACTAGCTTGTCATAAATCAGTTACCGCCAAGTGATGCAGAACCCAGCCGATCTGTCTGCCTACTTATTTCCCAAACACACCTGTAACACCTGGAGAAAATATCCAACAACAACAATCCACAATCTCTGGAGCAATGCACCTGCTTAGGGGCTGAAAAAAAAAAAATCATGTTAGATATATGTTGTAATGTCAGATTGGGGACAGAGTTCTTATGGAAGTGTCCCGAGTGCTACATTGTCGATTCTTAATTCAGCATGCAACATTTAACAACATATCAGATACATGTGATGGTAATGGAATTCCATAAACTGTCTGTGGAAGACTTTGTAACACGTGCAGGTCTTGCTAGTCACATTCGTCATCGCCATGGACTGATTTTCATTCCTCCTTCTAGCACAATATAACACTTCTTCTTTTCTCTACTCATGGAATGCCTTGTAGCATCAGGACAGGAAGAGATTTCTGGACCTAGTCCTTCTTTTCTCTACTCATGGAATACCTTGTAGCGTCAGGACAGGAAGAGATCTCTGGACCTGGTCATTCTTTTCCCTACTCATGGAATACCTTGTAGCGTCAGGGCAGGAAGAGATCTCTGGACCTAGTCCTTCTTTTCCCTACTCATGGAATGCCTTGTAGCGCCAGGGCAGAAACCTCTGGAACGAAATACTTTTCAGTGTCTCCTATGTTTCTGTGGTTCATCTTTTAACTGATCGACCTCTGGCGCTCTCACCGCTGTATGTGTATAATTATACACTCTGTCGCTGTCTGTGGCTTAGGCATTGCAAACAAGCTTCGTAAAGCTGGGGTGCCGGGTTCGATCCCAGCTGCGCGCCTTGCGTTAGTTCCGACAGTGGTATCGAGAAGCTGACAGTTCAGTAGCAATGGCAAACTACTGGACATAAATGTGCCTAGAAAAACTACAACAGTAAAAAAAATGCTAGGGTTGGTTCTGCAACGTCCTGTAAATGATACGCAACTAACGTAGTGCCCTATCTGGTGCCAGTCTTGTTACCTGGCCACACCATTTGATTTATTGTCTACAGATAAAGTTGAGTATTGGTTCTGTGTCGACTCTTCTCCTGAATTCATTGTTCCTAAGCTGACCTTTCCTTGCTGCTACTAGCATGATATAAACATTTCATTTCTGTCATGAATTTTTTTTTCCTTCAAGTGGTTTTTTTGGGGGGGGGGGGGGGGGGAATTCTTTTTATTTATCTATGAATACTAAATAAATCACTGTCAGTTTGCTGGAGGGTCATAGCATTTGCAAACTCTAGAATGGTCAGGCTCGAACTAGACTATCACACTCAGGCTGATATAACAAAACTTAAACTCTAGGGTGTCCGAAATATAACTATGTTGATTAACAAGTCTTCTTGTGTGTCTGATGTCTTTTGCTCTTGCCGATATTAATTTCCAAGTCTGCCATTCTGGCGAGTGATGTGGATTCACTACCCCCAAAATGTGGTCGTCATCATTGTCATGTAGCAGGTCCTTTGCAGAACATTGTTCTCATCACCAGTTTTGCACCACTTGGTCCTGCTGTCCCAGCTGAGATAAAAAGACAAATTATAAATACAATCTTTATACCGACATTAGGTTATCAATGTCAGACTTGGACATTAACAAAAGAACACGAGAGAAGACTAACCACCTGTGAAATGAGATGTTTGAGAATGGCTGTGAATAAAACCAGAAGAGATCGAGTGAGAAACGATGTGATTACAAGAACTATTGGAACCATTCATTCATTTATTCAGTAGCATGTCCCTCGCGGAACCTCGCTGCCATACAACCCTCCGGATGTGGAAACCTCCTGGTCCTGAGCAAGATGTCCTGCGAACATTGGTACACCCATCTGGAGATCATCTGCCACATCCTGCACCCGTCTTCTCCTTGGCCTTCCTCTTCCTCTCTTCCCAGGCATATACCCCTCCATACCGACATTGTTCTCTCTAGACTTCCATGACATTTTCAAGTGACCAAAATATTTCAATTTTCTTTGTTTTATTGTCTTTACTAGCCAACCCTCTTCAATATTCAGCTCTTGAAGTATGGATGCATTTGTTCTTATTGGAACCATACCCATCGTTAAATTTATTGAGAAGCAAAGAATGAAACGGTTTGGTCACCTAATGAGAATGGAACCAACGATGCCAGCATCAAGAGCATACAACATGAAAATCGAAACACCAAGAGGCAGGGAAAGACCAAGAAGAATATGGATTGAAGGAGTCACGGACAACTTGAGACTTCATAACATCACGGCATATGAAGCGACTGAGCGCGCCCTGGCTCGGTTGCCGATCATCTGATAGACTGCGACGCCTAGCGGCACAAACAGATTTTGACAAAAGAAGAAGAAGAAGGTGGTGAATTGATGTATGACAAGCTAGACGTTGTGAGGGTCCCTCTGAGAGCGAGTGAACAGTGTGGAAGCGCAAATAGATCATTACAGTCTGAGACGAAAAGCGCTCGAGGAGTTACCAGGGCGTCCGACCGACGCTCAACACTCAAGGAAAGGGCGAGATGGGTTTACTCCGATATACAATCAGACAGTTACTGGTGCCATCGGAATTGGAACTCTTCGTTTGTTGCTGAAGAGAACGAATGTGTGCTAATGGGGATGTCCCGAGTGCTATGGTGTTGATTCTCAATTCAACATTCACTTACCAAAAGGCTGCGCTAACAAATCTTCATACACTGTTTCTAAAATGAAGGTACACTACTTATAAGTATGCACAAACAATATTATAACAAGTTAGTGGATTCGAAATCTGCTGTTTCTGGACTTATTACAAACTGTAGAGCAGCAATGTTGTACTTACTGAAAATAACAATAGCTAGGGCCTTTCTATTCCGGAATGGTAAGAAGCTGTCGATGTTAAAGTGGGTAGGCATTATAAAATGGCACACAACACAGCAAACGTGGCACAAGGCAACACGTCGCTCAGAACAGATCTTTTATAAATAATCAGAGGGGGAACCTTTGAGGC